TTAATATATTTTATTATAATACAAAATATATTTCCAAATAAAATATATATTTCCAAATTAGATAAATATATATTAAAATATTCTAAGAATTTAAAAACCCCTCGACCTATTATAAATAAAATTATTTATATTTAAAAACAAAAAAAAACTAAATATTAAATTTTTAAATTTATAATTAATATTCGAATTATATTAAAATTACTAAAATTTATATTATATATTTTTTTTTAATTTTAATTTTATAATATTATTTTAATACAAAATATATTTCTAAATAAAAATATATAAATTATTAAAAAATCGGACCATATTTAAATATTAATAAATTGTTTCGTAAAATAAAAAAAAATATTTATTATATTTAATTATAAATATTGTTAAATTCTATTCCAATTTATTATGTTATAATTATACCAAATTGCATTCCATTATACTACGCTACGTTCCACTACCTTCCACTACCCACTCCACTATACCTCACTCCACTACACCTCACTACATCTCGCTACACTACACTCCACTAAATTACACTAAATTACACTACACCACACTACACAACACCCAACACTACACGACACTACACCACACTAAACTACACTACACCACACTACACCACACGACACCACACTACACCACATCACACTACACTCAATTACACTACACTACCCTACCCTACATTACAATACATTACATTCCGTTACACTACACTCATTACACCACCACAAATGTAACTACAACTACACTAATTAAATTAATTATACTACACCACAACTACAATTCCACTACACTACAACTACAACAGCACTACACCACACTACATAGAGCAGTTGTGGGTGAGGTGACCGACCAGGTAACCACTGCAACCATTGCAACCACTCCAAATAACACAGTTCCAACCACCTTTCGGTCCATCAGTGGCTTCGCTCTGCCATCCGTAATTCACAACAACCAATCTCTCCTATAGGTTTTCTATTTTTGAAACTTCCGCCACCGCCTTGTGCGGTACTACTAGTAATAATTAAATCAATTTACATATGTATTTTTTAAATACAATAAATTAAAAATAAAGATAAAAAATCCTTTAATTTTTTAGAAATTAATTCCGGCACGCCAAAATTCAGATTAATAACTAATTTCCTAACTAATTTCTTAGAATTTGTCACCATCACGCAAAGCCAAAACCACATTCCAAATTTTATTTTTAATAATATAATATATCAAAAAAATATCCCAAATAAAGAAACATAATATTAGTGCTGAAAATCAATTAAGTTAAGTCGTAACCGGGACTAGTGGAATTCCCACTTAGATGTCTCGACTTAAAAATGCCAGTGCCCAACTCCACCTCAGATGTTTCAGTATCTGTCTGCGTACAGAGGCTACGCAGGCTATGCTGTTCCGCGTCTTTCTTTGTCCTCCTGAGGCCAGGTGTACCAGCATGGAATGGTGCGCTTGTCAGTCCCAAAACCAAAACGGAAACTCCGCAACTCAACTTTCGGTATCTGTGGACCCTAACAACCAACAACTAAGACTGCAATCCTCAAAAACTCAAACCTTCCACCACTTCCAAGCCGGTCTGACAACCTCCACAGTCAAATTTTATAATTTATATTTTAGGCCCAAAAGTAAAGGATTTCAAAGTTCCAAATTTAATGGTAATGAAGGTTCAATATCCAAAAATAGAAATATTGAGTATTTCTAATGTTCAATATGTAAAGATTCATTGGGAAATATTTTTTATTTTCAAAGGTAATTTACGTAAGGATTAAAGATTTGAAGATTTATGATCCAAGGATTGTAGGATTCTTTGTTGAATATTTGAGATTTTTGCTAAAGAGTACAAATTCAAGTAACCGGTAGGAAGGACGACCAAAAGGCTAAATGTCCCTCAAATAGAACCAAAAGGTTCTGGAACGGTTCGAACATCTGGTGGAAATCGCACAATGGAACAATCGGAATACAAAGAACAAAGCATGGTAAAATTTGGACATATTAAAAAAAAGGCAACACTTTTCTAAAACTATACTAAACGTGTACCATGCAGGTAGCGTTCTTTGAAATAGTGGGTTCTTAAAAGGACAATCGTTGTTTTTTGGCGCCCGTGTCTCGGAATTGCAATATTTGAAAACTAGATTGCATATTTTTTAAATATAATTATCTTTATTTCATGACAACGTTTTTGGACATCCTCACTGCTCAAAATGCATTCAAAACGATCTCTCGATTCTCCCATCAGCATGAACGCCTGGGGTCGCACCGGGTTGTGGCTCTATCTTCAAAGGCTACCCAAAGTGGGGCGCAAAAATACATGATGTCACAAAGAAACAATAGATAGATATATATATATATAAGTATAGTAGACCTTAAAGTGTCCTAAAATACGGTGTGCAACATCAACAATCGCCGTGAACAAGGCTGGAAAGAACATTTTATGGGACCACAATCAACTAACAGTATCTACCCACACAATGCTGTATTGCTTTGTCCCTAAACAGTGGGGATACCCCCAGCACTTTCAGTTGAGAAACCCTGGGGAAACTCGGAAAAATATGATTTGCCAGGCACGACCTAAATATAATATAATATTATACAATATAATATAATATAATAAATATAATATAATAAAATATAATATATAATATTTAATATAATATATAATCTATAATATAGTAAAATATAATTTAATACAATACAATACAATACAATATAATATAATATAGTATAATATAATATAATATAATATAATATATATAATAATATATCATAATATGTATATTATAATATATATGTATATATATATATATATTATAATATATATAATAATATAACATAATATATATATATTATAATATATATGTATATATATTATAATATATGTGTATATATGTATATGTGTAATAATATATAATATACATAATATATATATGTATAATAATAATATATATATATATATATATAATATATAATATATATATAATATACAATATATATATATAATACATATAATATATATAATATATATAATATATATAATATATATAATATATATAATATATATAATATATATAATATATATAATATATATAATATATAATATATAATATATATAATATATATATATAATATACAATATATATAATATATATAATATATATAATATATAATATATATTATATATTATATATTATATATAATATATAATATATACATATATATATATATATAATATAATATATATATATATTATATACAATATACATATATACATAATATATATATTATATATATATAAATTACGTGTATATATATAATATAGTGTATATATTTTAATGTACAGTTAAGCCGTAGGCTGGTATCTGCCGTGGCTAAGTCTGAAGCATCCAACAGCTTCAATGGTGCATAATGGGGTTCCCGGCCACCATGTCTTCTAGCACTGGCAGAAACACCTCCTCAAGGTGAAACCCGGGTTAATTTTTGGAGGGGCTGCTGGATGTTCCTCTGGCAGCTTTAGAATGTGTTTGTGGATACCCTGCTGAAGATCTCTCAAACACACTCTGAGCCAACCTCGAAACCCATCGTCTACAAAAAACGGAGGAATCCATTCAAGCCACCCTTCGAAGAAAAATAGCCATAACAAACTTAAGTGTGATGGCCCTTCAAGGTTCATTCCAGCTGAATATATGGCACTTTTGGACTTTCTGATGGAAATCATGAAATGCACATCACCTGAGCTTCGTCGTGACCTCACCTCATTGGGGACTACCATGCTCCACCATGACTGATGAAAATACAACAAGCAGAGATGCTGTTTGGATTCTTTATAGCGTCACTATGTGTCACTGTAGGTATGATATTCATCCAATCTGAAACTGTACCCAGCCCGCCCCCCAGTCCTTATCTACCAAGTCGCATCCACTGAAGAGGTTGGGATACCTCGCTTCATGGTGCTTCGTCAACAAAGATATGTAATCCGCCATCTACGGTCCAGGAAGGCTCATTAAACGATCTCTAGAAAATTGCACATGCTTCAACCCCCACAGATTGGTTGCTGATCATTTAAGATTTTTAGACATGTACTACTGACTGTCCATTTTTTGTTGATTGCATAGCGCTTTTGCGACACGTTTCCAAGCGTGGCTATGTGAAGGTTTGTGCTGGTTGGTGCAAACGCCATTGGACGACTTTCATGGAAGTTCCTGGGATGACCGGATGGGAAGTTTGTGCCCGTATGATACATGTATTAGGTCGAAAGCTGTGACACCATAGCCATTGCGTTCAATGAAGCGTTTGTCATTCGTCAAAAATCGCCGCGCTTCGTCAAACATCAACAATTCCAAAATGACGGATCCATGGTGCTGTATGGTATATTAATATATATACCCTGAACTTCCCACGTCGAAGTTTAACTTACCACTTAAGCAAATGTTAAGTTAAACTTGCTAGTCGCGTTAAATGTTAAGTTTACCCATGAAGTGCTAAGTCCTACCTCGCTCTTGTTTTTTCACACGCGGTTGTGTCCCCTGAGCTCTGGAATTCGCCACTGCAAAGTCTTCATTCTCATCCGAGAAAGCTTCAAGATTCCAACTTCGCGCGGTTTCGACTTCACATTTTTTGCCCATCCTGCAAAAAAGACAAGAGGCCTCAAGAAAAACATTGAAAGCACACTTAAAACAGCAAACACAAACAATAAATTTCAATCAGTCCTTTGAGAACCATCATCATATCTTCATCTCCAAAAGTGTGCACATATCGAGGGTTTTGTCCTAGGCTGTCAGCACAGAAGTTTTTTGTTGCATTCAATGATTGGGAATGCCAGGTTTTGAATTTAAGCTAAGAGTCGAAGCAGCCTCACGTAGTCAACCAGCACATGCGCAAAAGCCTCGCGAAAGTTAATTTTTCTCTCTTAGGTGTGGGAATGCAGTCACGATGCTATAAAAAGAGGAACATACACAAATTAAAGCGCTATCCAAGCCACATGCCATTTTGGCACCAATACCCAAGCCAGGATGCCACTCCTCCAACATGTAGGGGTTTGAAGATGTTTGAAGTGAGGGGGGCATAGTTGAAATTTCAACCAATTGAAACAGAGAGTCCTTGTACTCATGTAGTTGAGGCTCCGGTACCCCACCAAATAAGCTTTTCCAGCTTCTTCAATTTGCTGAGATTGCTCAAGGGTCCTTATCAGAACCGGATGGTTGGGGTTCCTATTGTTGTATTGTAGTTTAATTCAAATATAAATTAACTAAATTTCGACGTGGGAAGGATCAGGGTCTAAATCTTTCTAGGGCTATATACAATACGTACAATGTATGCTAAGGCCTATCATAATCAGAATTATTACCACATTTCCCCATGGCCTAGTGGCACCGTGCAAGCCGCGGCCGCGGCATCATTGCTGGCGAGCTGCAACTTCCGAGAGGCCCGCTCCGTGAGTCCAAAGTACCGGTTGACACCCCTCCTTGGAGGATAGATAGGATAGGATCTAATGGGCTGGCATCCACAAGAATAAGTGGCGGCCATATATCCACAATTTTGTTTAGTACATTTTGGGGGCTATGATAAATACCAGGTAAATGGTTGAATAATACCGCACCAAATGATGTCTACCTGTAAGGGAATAAACATATCAAAATTGCATGTGACCCCTAGTCTGAATCAGGGCCATGCATCATTGTAGATTCAGTCAGATCAAAACGCTCATCCAGAATCAAGTTCCCTGGGTTGGCTCTGATTTCAACAATCTTGGCTAGCAGCCATTCAGATAATACTCTCGCATTGTAGCCTTTCGCGTTGAGAAAGTGTCCATAGTCTTTGCGATTTACGGTCTTGTATGTAAAGCGTTTCTGGGAGCACTGAACTTTGTGGATCTTGCGCCACTGGACAAAGTCATCAAAAGCTGCGTTCAAAACCCTGGGCCAATCATCATCGTCATCCAACCGGCCCCAGACGTGCATGTGGACAAGCATACCCCTTGGATGGTGGTGAAGATTCCCCGTAAAAGTAAATACCCTTTAAAGGCTAAAGGATGTTCAATTTGCCCATCGAAAAAATAGAGTTAAAACACGCGCGGGAAAACATTCCCCCTAATATTAAATGCCCGTTATGAATGGCTTCCCAAAACCGCAATAATTCAGGGTCATTTCATATTAGGAGGAAGTAATCCAATGCCAGGCTGCAAGGTGGAACCATTGCTGACCCCCAAAAGACCAAGGTTGAGAATATGAAGCGTACAATGTTTTATCAAAGAGACGTGGAAGAAGTAAAGGTCCACCAAAGGACCTCAGAGTTAATTGAGTTAGGGCCCGTAATTCCCAAATTGAAGTTGGTAATTTTGCTCTTGATTGAATAGGGCCACCCCCAACAAAAATGGTTCTGTCTTTGAGACCTACGTACTCTGAAAACACTATTCTTCGGGGCCCATTTAATTCCGCAAAGAATAAGAGGGGCTATATTGCCACTTGAGTAGATATTTGTCATCCCAAAAATCACCTATACCTCACCTCAAAACTATAAATCCTTTCCAATATATTCAAGCCACACATCTCCTGCGGGAGCTCCTCAAAAAGAAATTCCTCAGTGCTACGCCTTGTAGATATCCAGTCATCGTAGTGTAAATAGTTCAAATGGTTTTGGTTTGTGCAGGCTTGGCAACGAAAACATACCTCTTTTTTTCTCCACCAGGATGCGTGTTGAAATATATTTCGAAACCATGCCTGGTCTCCCCGAAGTTCGCTGACTAGAAACCTACGGCCATTCAGGCCATTTTCAGCCAGCTGATTCAAGTTGTCAGTAATGTACCGAAAAACTGGATACAGCGTTGCCTGCATGTTGAGCACTCTGTCACTTTCAATACTGAAGAGAAGATACTTTGCAACTCTTGTCACTTTTGGCCGGAACAATGGCAAGGACAAGACAATCCCATAGATCTGGTTGGTGGGTGCGTTGATCAACCCAATGCAAGCTTCATCCCCATAGATCCCCACAGGCCAGACTTGTTGTGCACATGCCTGGCGAAATCGTTTGGTGCTCAAAGCCCACTCATCCCCCATGTTGTCTAGATGTTCCCAAAAATTTGCCACCAACGAGTCTGGCAGGTGGAGGCCACAATGATGAATCAAATACTCTAAGATTTTCGATGGAGACTGGACCGGCAATTTCATAGTCCCTGCAGAACCATCAGCACAAGTGACCCCCACTTCGATCATTTCAGATTCCTTAGTCACATCACTGTGAAAAGGGAAAATGAAAATGCTACTTAAGGGTTGGTTGACAATGTTTCCAACATCTCTAAAACTAAAACGAAACTAAAAATAACATATAAGCCAAGAAATCAATCGGGAGTGGATTTTGTTTGAAATAATCTCGAGATTGGTTCCTGCCCAATTTATAGCCAGCAAGCTTGGCCGTAAATGCAGTTGTGCCACCTTTGGCTTCCTGAGTTAGGCATTTAGCCTAAAATAAATGCATCATTCCCGACAAACCAATGGAGAACTGCAGACAATCACGGCTGTCCTGGTAGGTTGTTCTTGCTGACCTCATGGCTGCTGCAGCGCTGTCCTCAGCACGTGGTACGCCAGGTGATGAACTTGGGACATATGGATTGGTGGTAAGTATATAACCTATGTAGCCGGTACGTGTTTTTCTGACATATCATATTGCTGACAAATGTCACCTGAAGCTATTCTTTCGGCAAGTTCCCTTTCTAAAGGGCCAGCTCCAACATCATCACCTGCGAGGGTTCTCATTGAAAGATTAAAATTCTTGGTGGTTGTTTCCATTGTATTGGCCACAGTAGGACCATGGCTTCAGAGTAGTTTACTCTGTACTGTATGATACTCGATGTACTGTTCTCTTGGTCAACTCTGGGAAACCGCAGCTTGGCTGATGCAAATCAAATTTCCCCATAGTGCAAATTTTTAAGACCTTGAAGTTCTGTAGTTTAGTTGCACAGCGGTTCAGAGCTAGGTAGGTGGCAACTCCTAAGCATACCCACGGCCAGAATGGTGTCCCCCGCTCAAGCAACCTGGTCAATCTGACGCCCAGGTTGGGCCCCTGACACCCTGTGGCCGGAGCAAGCCTAAGTGCCTTTCTCAGAGACATCAACGGAAAATGTCAAAACTTGGTTTGCCACCCTTGCCCCACGAATATCATCGAACCAAAAAAATGTATACAATTTGGGGTGATCACATTTGAAGAATATTAATACCTGGGCAAGTTCGACCTAGCACCTACTTGGAAGCCTTTTTTGGCTTTTTCATCTTCAATGGTTCACAGGCCATCTCCAGGTCCTTGCGGGCATTCCCACAATCATCCACCATGGCCTCTGTAACCTGGCCAGGAAACCAAATAATCACCATTCACTCTAATGTGCTTAGACAACTGGATTCGGGAGAATTGACAAAGCCAATGGAATAAAGTTAATTGGCAATTCAGCGCAAACATTAGTTCCATCCCAGTGACAGTTGAAGCGCACCTCGGAACTTTCCACAGCTTTTTGCAGGGTCGTCCGGCAATCCTGCCAGCAGACTGAATGGTTTCTTTTTGGATGTCGTTGGAAGCTCTAGTGGGTCTAGCCTCTAGCTTGGACACCTTTTCTTCCACGTCATCTTTCACAGAGCTTGCGTAGCGATCACTCCTTGCATGACAGGAGCTTGATTAAGGGGCTCAACTGAATTAGCACTTTGACATGGGAGCTAAGCCGCACACAGCGACGACAGATTCGGCTTCAGGTCAAGGGCCCACTTGATCTTGCTGCTGGCGTCACTCAAGGCCTGGCCAAACAAGGGTTGACGGACAATCGGGTTAAGCGATTAGAGCAAGAAAAAACTTGGAGGGGTGGCCTTCTTCGCTGTCTTGAGGAGTTTCTTTTTTATCTCGGCATCATGTTTTTTCTGCTCTTCTTCTGCGGTCGGCTCTTTGGATTCCTGTTTGACCTTCTTGCTTTTCTTTGCTTTTTTGCTTTTCTTTTTGGGTTTCTTTTCTGGTTCCTTTTCTGCCTCAAGAGTGGATAAATATGTACCCCTACACTACCACCATACATAGATCCAGGAATGAAAGCATGTATCACTCCTTGTCTTCTTTCTTGTCTTTCTTACTCTTCTTCTTTTTCTTCTTCTTCTTATCAGACGAAGACGAGGACGAACTGGACGAGTCCGACTCATCCAAACTTTGGTACAGCTTGTCAAGTTCTTCTTCGTGGCTTTCTTCATGGGCATCATCAACAAGGGTCAAAAACTGCATCATCTCCTGGATATGATCATCAGTGAGTAGAAGCTACGATTGCACTATAGCTAGCACAGTTTCTTGACATGTTTTTTTTCGAAATCATAATGCCACCGGCCGTCCTGGTTCCCTGGCAGCTCGGGGTGTTCTCTGGTCTCACGTTCTTTCAATTCAGGGTCAAGGAGCTTCCGATTTCTGATAAGGTTTCCGTTCTCTGCCCCAAAGCGAGTGTCCATTTCAGGAGCAGTCAGCCACTTGCGGACCCCTCGACGGGTTGTCGAGTGGCGTTCCCTGATGGAAACAAGAAACTTGCTCTTCCCCCATTGGCCCTCACTGCACGACGCCCAGGCATCGTACAAGATACTGTTCATAGATTTGCCTTAGCATGCTGAGAATCTCAGATCTAATTTGCAATCAAGATCGATATATCATTTCAAAAAAAAAAACTTGACTTGTGACCTTTTATATAGGGGTTCTTGGCTTGGAACTCACTGGGCCAACCAAGATACTGCCATGGGCAGCCTGCGCCATCTTTCTCAGTTCAGGTGGTGTCGAAGGATCTTAGCTCACGCGCGCATGTGCAGTAATTTACATAGGACATCATAGGACCTAAGAATAAGTACATGTGATCCACATATATTGTGAACTCCAACGGCTAAGGCTAAGATTGATGCTTCGCACATTTCTGAAGTATCGCATATACCTCGCATGTGCTGCTTTTCTCCTTTCTTCGATCTCCTCCAGTCTTGCTCTCTCTGCCTCATCCTCTGCCTCCTGTGCCGGGGCACCTCCTGAATCTCCTGGCTGTTCTTGGTTACTTTCTACTTTCATCGCCTCTTCCTTGTCTCCTTCCTTTCTTTTCTCTCCGTCTCCGTTTTCACCTTCCTTTGCCTTCTCTCCGTTGTCTCCTTCCTTTTCTCCTTCCTTTGCATTCTCTTTGTTGTCAACTTCCTTTGGTTTTTCTTCGCTTTGCTTATCTTCATGTTCTCCTGCACGTGTCTTTTCAGCCTTTTGTTTTTTTTCCTCCGGTTGGTTCTCAGCATCATTTCCATTGTCCTGTTCATGCTCTGGTTCCTTTCGCTTCTGAGTATTTTTTCCTCTGCCGCGGCCACGACCTTTGCCTCTGCCACGGCCACGGCGTGGTTGCTTTTCATTATCTTCTGTCTCCCTTTCTGTCTTCATAACCTTGTCCTGTTCGTCCAAGGCTGTTTGCATTTCATCTTCTGCCTCATCTCCATTGTTCTCATCATCAACCTCCCGATCCTTTTTTGCTGCCTTTGACTTCTTAGATGCCTTTTTGGGGCCAGGTTTCTGTGCGCTCTTCTCCTTGTTCATCGCTCTGAGGAGTCTTTGCTCTTCCAGCTGTTTCCGAATTGTGTCAACATCATCGGCATCGGGTGGCTTAATGTTGTCAGACTGAGCAAGGTCGGGAACTTCAGGGACTAGCGGCTTGGTATCTGCATAGGCTGCTGCTGCTGCATCGGGCTCGGGAGCTTCACCAGCGTTTTCGTTTTCCAATTCCTCTGGGCATTTTGCGGCCTTTAAGTTCTTTTGGGCTTTGGGTTCTGCAAACTCGTTCTTTCGCTTTCCAGGTAGTGAATCTACTGAAGTTGGTTCTGAACCCAAAATTCCATTGATCATCTTCAAGATCTTGGGTTTATTCTCTCTGGTGCAGTCCGCTAAAATTTCCTGGAGACCCAACGCTAAGGCTTGAGCAGTCTCAAGTGCCTCCGTGTTCTTCTTCTCGTCTGTTGCACTTACCTTAGAGGTGGGATAGTATGCTGATATCAGGGGCCCAAAAGTTGAAAGTTAAGCTTGTAACCAAAAACAAATATGAACCCTCCCCCACCTGCTTCGCATCTGTAGCCTCCTTTGAGAGGGTATCACCCTTCGAGTGTGTATCCCTGCCGTTCTTGTTGCCATGCTTCTTCTGGACATCTTCTTTTTCCGCTTCAACTTTGCCACCCTTTGTCAACTCCGGATCCTTTGGGTTGCTGTTTTCCAAGGGCTTTCCTGTTGCCTCCGCTTGCCTTGGCTCCTTTGGTACCTTTTCTTCCACCTTTTTTTCTACTTTTCTCGGTTCAACCTCCTTTGGGGCTTCTACCTTGGCTGTATCCTCTCCAACTTTGACGGGGCCTTGTGGAAAAAGTTCACGTGCTACTGGGGCAGGGGTTGGCTCTGTTTCTTCATCATCTGTCATATTTTCCTCTTCCTCTCCTTCCTCTATCAAAAGTTCAACTTCTTCTACATTGTCATCCAGCTGGGATGGTTCAGCCTTGTTATCCTTTTCCACTTTTTCCAGATCTTTCTTTAGTGTTCCTTCTGGATCCTTCTGTTCTGTTCCTTGTGGCTTCTTGTCGGGGGCCTCTGACAAGATTGACTTTTTGATTGCAAAAACACATGTATTAAACTCCACTAGTTGAGAAAACAGTGCCATACTGCATTGAAGATTCATGGCCAGCTGAACCTCCAAAGGTCTTCTGATCGATTTGGTGCGTTTCACAACACCGGCATCCTGCAAGCTCCCCCCAGAACGAGGAATCAACTTTTGAGACGAAAGAAACACAATCGAGAATGAGAGTGAGGGAGAAGAGTCTAAACGGTTGCCTTGAAGATCAAAGAAACCAGTTTCTTCAGCTTGTGCATGTTGCTGCCTTGGGACCTGCCAGCAGAATGATAGGATGATCATAACTACCGTAGTAGGTTGTTTTTGTAATCCAATCCCGCAACCACTTAATCTTAATGTTGGCGCCTAGCCTTGTTTTTTCTGTCCTTGAGTAGGCACTTAGCACTTTTGAAGCCAATGCTCTGTGCAAGTTGCCTTCGGTCCGACACCAGTCCTAAGCAATTGTGCCAATGGGAAACGGTTTGAAAGTGGTTCGCAATTTTCAAGATATTATGCAAAGTGACTCCAATGTCTTCTTTGTCTTTCGAAAGTGTCATCCGTTGGTCTTGGGCTACTTTCGCCAGAACTTCCTGGATATTGGGGGAGCCGCAGAAAAACAGGTTATATAGATGAAATATGATGGAATTGACGTAGCTTGGCCAGCCTTGCATTCTTTCTCAGTTGGCGGGTCCACAGCAAACACAGGTAGCCATGCCAATAAGAACTTGGTGTTGTTGTCACATTGCACCTGGCCACAAGCCAGTCACTCAAGAAACTGAAATTTAAGCCCCATTGAGAAATGAGCCAGTGGTACCATCTCCTCCGACAAACCCTTTTTTGGGTGCAGGTCGATGAAGGAAAAATCCAGTGGAACCTGCCATGGGCTCAGTTGGGCACCTTAAGGGCGATTCAAAAAATATAACTGCAGTTTCACCACGTAGTCCTAAAACTCGCAGGGGACACCTTGCCATCGTTCAAAGATCGAAGTGCTCTCTGTTCTGAAATGCCTTCCTTTGCCCCTAGTTGGACAAACCTTTTCTCACGATAGCCACCTTCAGTCAGGTAGGACTTGTAGAAATCCTGGCTGGGCTCACGCACGTTCATGATTGAAATGGGGACTGTGGCAATCTCAGTTTCGCCTCAAGAAGAGCCATCCTTCGCTCGCTAGGCTTGACGGTTGGCATGCTGCTTGTGAGATGGGAGACACTGGCAGGCTGCAGCCGCCCTTGCTAATTTTGATTTTGTTGGCATTATAATTATGACTGACATGCTCATGGTTCACACTTCCCACTGTTGCTGAGCACAATGGATGCAGCCAGAAGAAAGAGCATTAGTCCAAAGTCCAGGCTGGTTTCTGACCAAAGAAAACACAGTCAAATATTTCAATCTGGAATGGGCTGGGAGGCACCTAAAGCGTACTGGTCCAGCAGGGCAACAGCACGTTTCCCTCAGACCCAGCAGATCCCTTGTATCAAGTAGATCGAGCTTGGACTAGAAAACTGCCACCGAACTCAAGAGCTTGGGTTCTGACGCTTTGCGATGGCTGCTCTCATGAATCGAAAACATGGCACCGGGTGTGGTCAAGGAAAGTCCATTTCACACCAAATACATATGTCATATCTCCCAAAAAAACAATATGTCCATATGAATCTTAACGACCTTCCAAATTTCAAAAGTTTAATATTGTTTATCAATTTTGTTGAGTTGAAATCCTCGACAATCTGGCTTTGAGCCGCTGATCTCCTGGAGGCCTGCTGGCAGGGGACTGGTGACCAGGTGAGTGATGGGATATCCCCCCTAATGGTTAAACTTAGGCTTCGTGTATGTCGAAGTTAAACTTACCCTTTGAAGGCTAGGGTATATATATATATATGCTAACACAAATGGGGTTAATATTGATGGTATATTGATGGGATCCATGTCATCATTATAGCAGCACCGTTAGGATCATGGGATTTTTGCCGATCTGGTGGAATGTCTTGGATCGGAAACCCGGCCTGGGAATGGTAATGACTCACTTAAACACTTTGCGAAGTGGAAGTTATGGCCATAGAAATGATGGTTAATGATGGTTAATGATGGTTAATGATGGTTAATGGTTAATGATGGCTAATGATTGATGATGGTTATATAATGATTGTTAATGATGATGATTAATGATGATTGATGACTGTACCCTCTGGTAATGACTAACAGTTTGCTATTGAAAATGGTCATTGAAATAGTTGATTTCCCCATGAACATGGTGATTTTAGCGAAAATCCTCACCCCCTCCAGGCGCGCATGTTGAGCTCGATCAGCTTGGCATCTCCGTTACCTTGGCACTCAAGAAATATGATGAAATATGTATCGTCATGTACACGTGCTGTATGAATAGTATCTATGTGGAGGTTTCCATAAATGGGGCTACCCCGAAACTCATAGTTTATAATGGAAAATCCATTGGAAATCCAAGTTAAGGAAAGTGGATGATTTGGGGGTACCCCTATTTTAGGAAACCGCCATATATAATGTATAGATGCATGGGTATGAATATAGTGTAGCTACAATACCAGGAAGACTCATGACCTTTGTCCTTGCTGTTCCACCCATTTTCTGGGTCGAAACAATCAATAACATGTGTACATGTAAGTTGATATCACCAAAAATGTGCTGCCACAACCTACACTACAGTATGAACTGTGTAATTTGCGGCAACGCAAATATGGAGAGATCACCGACAATGGCAATGAATAGGAAGTACCAAGATCATTTGGAATATCAATATCACTAGCAAATTGTCGGTATAGCCGGCAGCTTTATCCATCGATTGGCTCATGCAAACGCAAAATGCAAGTCTTTCGTCCAATGCTGCATTGCTTTAGATACATCGGGTAGTAGTCTGCTGTTGATAGTTGAAACGAATCACCGAAACATGTGATCTCAACGATTCTTGCCTAATGTCAACCCTAGGCTAATACAGTACATCCCTACCAAATTATCACGTTGGGATCCCACATCAATCAATAAAGGTTCATTCATCCGGGCTTCGAAAGTTTTCCATATTTCCACCACGGGATCCCGCTGCATGACTTCAACCACCGGTGCTGAGATTCTGATTTTTTCAAGGGTGACATTTCAGCTTCGCCAGCTCAATATGCTGTGTATCTGATTTCATCTCAGTACTTCATAATTTCCTAGTTATAATGATTACATGAGATTTTCAATCAGATCGAAACCCAACAAACCTATGAAACATCAGACATCACCAAAATAGAACTATTCAATAAAATTACACAACTAGAACTAACATCCGGTTCTATGCCCCTAAAACGGTCAAAACGTCCCCGCATTGGATGTGAACCACCTTGGTATTGCTCATACCAAGTCTTCGGGCTCTGAATCAAGGCGTCTCCTCCAACCAAGGTGTAGCCTGAACCGAAAAAAATGCCGAGGTGGATTTTGGGTTTTGAAGGGCCTGAAGAAGTGGGTTTTGTCAGATTTTCGGATGGATCTTCAGCGATGTGGATTCATCTCAATTTTATGTCCTATAATTCATAAGCTCTTCTCTTCAAAAATGTTCATGAGTGTGCTATATGCTTGGAAAATTTCATGTTGCGATTTCATGGGGGAAGTGTTCCACTGCTACATTCTCGGGCCATAGTCCCCCATGTTCAAACCCATCAAACATTCCAAAAGCTCGACCAACTCAAAAATGGGTCAAACATCTCAACGTGGTTTTCCTGGCGGAATCTTTCTTAACTTCATCATTGTGGATCATATGTTTTATCCATGTTTCACCTACAAAATCTTACTCAATCAGGATGTAAATCTCACATCATATACTAAATCCCATCTAAATCCAGCCACCTTTTACCATCATTTCTACACCTTGTGGCATCCCCGAGCTCCTCCCTAGGTCCACCCCGAGCCGGTCCACCCCTACGTCCACTGGGTTCCCCGGGCACTTCCGCTGCTGTCGCGTCTGGCGCAGCAAAGGCTCCAGCGCAGGCGCCGCCTCCAACAGACGTTGGGCGATGGCACCGCGCCAGTGGGACGCCTCCGCGGCGCGCTATGGCGCGCTTCCCAATGATGTTTACCTAAAACGTTGCGAATACCTACAATGTGGGGCCCCCAGTGATGTCTGTTGGTTTATAAACCCCATTAACTATAGTTATAAGATGTTATAAGTACCATAAACCATAGTTATTGGAGTTATTTGCACCAACTTAGCTATCTTGGCCCCACATTGTAATCATCATGTTTTACCCAGATTTACCCATGTGGGTATGGATCAATACCTATTAATACCATTTTTAGGGGAATGAACATCCATTGACCAGCTATTTTGATGTTCACCAGGGGTACAAGGTTTTGACACACTGCCATGTTGGTAAATGAAAGGATGGTAAATATGACCCAATAGCAATGTTGGTAATGATGTAGGTTCAGACAATGAAAGCAACATGTTGCGAATATTGGTGAACGCACTATAGAGTGGATAATCATCTAATACAATATATCATAAATTGGGAGAATTATATGATATGAAATAATTGTATTGGATATTTGGGAATTATATGATATATAATGTTCACATGGCGTTAACAACCCCCCCGCAATAAAGTACGCCAACTCCCGGTTCACAATAATAAAACCCCCCCGCAATAAAGTACGCCAACTTTTTTTTTCCTGTTTTTTTTCCGTTTTTTCCCTTTAGTATTCGTTTTCAATTAGGCAATTCATTTGGGAATACATAGGTGTTTTTTTTGGAGGGAAAGTTCCCTTATGTATTCGTTTTCAATTAGGCAATTCAATTGGGAATGCATAGGTGATTTTTTTTTGGAAAGTTCCCTTATGTATTCGTTTTCAATTAGGCAATTCATTTGGGATTGCATAGGTGATTTTATTTTTTGGAGGGAAAGTTCCCTTATGTATTCGTTTTCAATTAGGCAATTCATTTGGGAATACATAGGTGATTTGTTTTTTTGGAAAAGTTCTGGAGTGCAAAAAAATCAACAAGGCTCAAATGGTCGATTTCCTTACTAAACCCTTTCAAAAAATGCCAAAAAACAATCGTGCAAAGGGGGTAGCCTTGAAGTCCCCTGACATCAAAATAATAATGTATGTTTGCACACCCCTAAATACAGTATTTGGATTTCAGGGTTCTAAAATTTTGGTGGTTAATTAAATTTGGTTCTCAATTCCTTTCCTAGTTGAACCCTTTCTCAAACCCTTTCTGAAGCCCTCAAGACTCTTTGAGCTGGAAGCAGTAAACTCCAAACTCCAAATCTTGCCTGAAAAGTTCTGGAGTGCAAAAAAATCAACAAGGCTCAAATGGTCGATTTCCTTACTAAACCTTTTCCTTACTAAACCCTTTCAAGAAAGTTCACTTTATGTATGCGTTTTCAATTAGGCAATTCATTTGTGAATACTAAAGTTCCAAGAAAGTTCACTTTATGCATTCGTTTTCAATTAGGCAATTCATTTGTGAATACTAAAGTTCCAAGAAAGTTCACTTTATGTATTCAGTATTCGTTTTCAATTAGGCAATTCATTTGTGAATACTAAAGTTCCAAGAAAGTTCACTGTATGTATTCGTTTTCAATTAGGCAATTCATTTGGGAATACATAGGTGATTTTTTGTTTTTTTGGAAAGTTCCCTTTGTGTAATCGTTTTCAATTAGGCAATTCATTTGGGAATACATTGGTGTTTTTTTGGGAAAGTTCCGTTTATGTAATCGTTTTCAATTAGGCAATTCAATTGGGAATGCATAGGTGATTTTTTTTTTTGAAAGTTCCCTTATGTATTCGTTTTCAATTAGGCAATTCATTTGGGAATACATAGATGATTTTTTCTTTTGGAAAGTTCCCTTATGTATTCGTTTTCAATTAGGCAATTCATTTGGGAATGCATAGGTGATTTTTACGATAGTTGAATGTTTGGCCCTAACTTTATTCTGATGCTCTTAATGTTTGGGGGGAGGGGGGGGTTTATTAATACGATGTTGACATTAATTGGATAATTAAATGATTATCACTATTATAGGTGATATATAGGGTATGATAACCATAATGAATAGGACATATTTTATTGGGACTAATCATACGGTAACTGCATTCAAATATGCAGACTTTTAAATATAGGAACAACTACATACCTCCGGGAAGGTTTTCCTTGGCCCGCCCGGCCATTTGAACATAAGGATTCCAAGTCATTTAAACATACGACATTTAAATATACGAACTGGTAATTCATACTACCTCCGGAGCCTCGCGGTCTGGCCCGCCCTCCACATACTTAAATGTCGTTACTGTACAATATATCATAAATTGGGAATATTGTTTCCTATATACATATATACATATATATATTGGAAACTTGTATGATATTGGATCATAAGATAATCATCATTAGAATAAGAATCATTATTCATCAATACTAACTAATACATTATCATGTGGGTGAAACAATGCCATCAAGCAGCCATACCACCTATATATTTATGCTGATGACTGGGAATGACTGGGGGATGGTAACCATGACATTGTTTTACCCACATTTTTGGGAATATAGTTGGATAATTATATGATATCATAAGGCAATATATTGGGCAGAACCAATCCACTGGATATGAATATATATTATAGTATATATAATAGTCTATCAACCCAATCAGGATAAACACAAGATATATTGACATGCATCATCATACATGATATGTCATTCATCTTCATTGTCACCATTTTGGAATGTGGATTTGTTTTAAAACATGGAAAGCATGTGGCTACTATATGATGCTATTGGATTATATAATCATATTAATCGAATAATCGGTATCAATTTACCACCTTTCCATACCACCAGAATGTGAGCAAGAGTCGGTCAACGATAATGTTGACCTACGATTTATAAAACTACCCTGAATTGTGCTATTTTTTCCCAAACTAAATAATAAAACTACCCTAAATAGTGCTATTTTTTTTGGCCCTAAACCCAGATTTGCCCAGATGGGGCTGATTTTGTTTTTTCCATGCTTTATTTGAGGTGGCTTTCATGTACTAATTCATATTGCCAGCTCATTAGATCTTACCTTGATAACTTCAAATTTTCAAAAATAATGGTTGCTCTTTTCTATTCAAAACCTTTATTCAAAATTATCCAAAATCAATCCCAAATCAACCCGTCAAGGGTACCCCCCATGAGGTGCCTTGGCACTAATTAGAGTTTGACCCTGAATAAAGCTAATTGTTTTTGGCCCTAAACCCAGATTTGCCCAGATCCATGACATCAATACTAAATCAATACTAAATCCATGACATGAATACGAGATCAATACTAAATCCATGACATGAATACTAAATCAATATTAAATCCATGACATGAGTACTAGATCAATACTAAATCCATGACATGAATACTAAATCAATACTAAATTCATGATATGAATACTAGATCAATACTGAATCCATGACATGAATACTAAATCAATACTAAGTCCATGACATGAGTACAAGATCAATACTAAAACAATTGCTGGATTCCTTTTTTTTGAAATTGCATTTTATGTATTCGTTTTCAATTGTGGTAATTTAAAACCTTTACATGCAAACAAGTTTTATGGTGGTTTTAAGTTTATTTAGGGTCAGAGGGGGGGGGGCCCTATTTATAAATCAGAGGTGGGCATTACTATAACGTTATACATCAGGGATACGATGTAATATCATGTAATATAATACCGATCTTTATTGTCACCATCTTTCTGAAATATATATATATATATAATGGAGATACAATAGGATATGCAATGGGTTACGATAGGGATAGTACGAGTAACTAACTAACGGTGTTGGAATGTGGGATTTAGACCTGTTGGAATGGGATTAAAGCAACCATGATTGGGATATATATATATAATATAATATATAATATATAATATATAATATATAATATATAATATATAATATATAATATATAATATATATATATTGTATATATATATATATACCTAGTGCGATGCACAGGGACATTCACCACTAGCAACCCGCAAAAAAATGGAAAAACAAAGTCCTACTAAAAGGTACCAAGCGCCTGAATTTCGGCGAATCATTCCATGTTCTATTAAATAGATCTTTTTGAGATTGCTGTGCATCTAAAGATGTATGCTTATTCCGAGAAGCTCTTGTCATTAGCACCACTAGGGAGTGGTGATATCAACATCCAAAAAAATTCAACATGACGAGTTTGGTCAGTCTTACCCTTTATATTTTGACCCGCTGCCGTCTCAAGGGATCCAAGTCGCAAAACCCTCAACGGTTTCGGTGGGTCGCCTGGTCGGAAGACTGCAGGGTCAACAAATAGGTCTCGGAGTCATTGTCATACCTCAGCAGCTGGGACTGGGTTGGCTGACTGTTGGTGGGGAAACCAGTGGTTTGGTGTAAAGTACCTCTATTTTGAGAAACACTAAGATGTACCCAGAAATTGGACGATTCCTGTAAATGCATGAATGTGCATGATGAGTGTAACAGTATAACCAAAATTTGTGGTTTCCTGAGTTCTCTGGGTCTGAATCCCAAAAATCTCTGTGGAGTAGCAAATAGTAGCTATATATAAAAACTACATTCCACATATGTGGGGCCATTTTCGACCCAACACGCCCACTATTGCAAGGATGAAACGGCTCAATTGTGACCCGAATCCAGGGTCGCTTAACTTGGGAGGCAACCGTTTTGTGACAGTTGGGTTTCGAGACTTGATGCGGTGGATCTCAGAATTCAGGTCTTAAGTCACCAAAATTTGCCAAACCCCAAACCTCGTCCCAGCTTACCCAGCCAGCTCCCCTAAAATCAGTACCCCAAAATGGCATGGCGCACAAAAACATTGCAAAAATTGAACATTTTGACACCCAAATGGGCAAATGGGATGTCTGGAAATAGAGCGTACCCCAAAATTCCATAAAATTCCAATGGTTTCACCACTTTTCTCATCGGCCATGCGTTTGTTTTTTGTTGGAAACACTAAAGTCCCTTAAAGCCTTTTACCATGGCGATCGAACATGGAAATAGTTGATTTACCTATTGTCCCCATGATGATTTAATGATTTTCCATGGCAAACTGCTAGTTTACCAGAACGTATCCAAAAACTAAGGGTAGGAAATTGTTTAGGTTTTTTTTTTGAGTTTACGGTTTTTCTTGTGATTTCTGGTTGTGCCCATTTTCTATGTTATTTGCAGCATTTCGGAGCTGGAACCCTTCATTTTACAAACCATGTGCAGCATTTGGGAGCTAGAACCTTTCATTTTGCAAGCCATGTGCAGCATTTGGGAGCTGGAGCTTTCCATTTTGCATGATATGTGCATTTGTTTGCAACATTTTGGAGCTGGAATCTTCCATGTGGCAGGCTATTTACAAGTTGTTGGTTGTTGTTGGTTGTTGTCTGTTATATAGTTGTGGGTTCTTGTTTGTTGTGTTATTATTGTTGCAGCTGTAGTTGTTGTAGTTGCTGTAGTTTTTGTAGTCGTAATTAGTTAGAGTAGAAGAAGAAGTAGTAGTAGTAGTACTAGTACTAGTACTAGTACTAGTACTAGGACTAGGACTAGTACTAGTAGTAGTAGTACTAGTAGTAGTAGTAGTAGTAGTAGTAGTAGTACTAGTTGTAGTTGTAGTAGTAGTAGTCGTAGTAGTAGAAGTAGTAGTACTAGTTGTAGTTGTAGTTGTAGTTGTAGTTGTAGTTGTAGTAGTAGTAGTAGTACTAGTAGTAGTAGTAGTAGTAGTACTAGTACTAGTACTAGTACTAGTACTAGTACTAGTACTAGTACTGGTACTAGTACTAGTTGTAGTTGTAGTTGTAGTAGTAGTAGTACTAGTTGTAGTTGTAGTAGTAGTAGTACTAGTACTAGTACTAGTACTAGTACTAGTTGTAGTTGCTGTTGTAGTTGTAGTAGTAGTAGTAGTAGTAGTAGTAGTAGTACTAGTTGTAGTTGTTGTTGTAGTTGTAGTTGTAGTAGTAGTAGTAGTAGTAGTACTAGTTGTAGTACTAGTTGTAGTTGTAGTTGTAGTAGTAGTAGTAGTAGTCGTAGTAGTAGAAGTAGTAGTACTAGTTGTAGTTGTAGTTGTAGTTGTAGTTGTAGTTGTAGTTGTAGTTGTAGTAGTAGTAGTAGTTGTAGTAGTAGTAGTACTAGTACTAGTACTAGTACTAGTTGTAGTTGTAGTTGTAGTTGTAGTAGTAGTTGTAGTAGTAGTAGTAGTTGTAGTAGTAGTACTAGTTGTAGTTGTTGTTGTAGTTGTAGTTGTTGTTGTTGTTGTAGTAGTAGTAGTAGTACTACTACTACTACTAGTTGTAGTTGTTGTTGTAGTTATAGTTGTAGTAGTAGTTATTTTTGTTTTTTGTTGTTTCCATTTGTGTTACTGTTGCTGTTGTGGTTGCTGTTGGTGAAGCCAAGAAGCCCGCCCGTAGAGCTTTGCAAAACCAAGAAGAATGAAAATTGGCGAACTATAAAGCCAAACGCCAAACAAGCAGAAAAAACAAACAACTGAATTTGTGTGGGTATTTGCCATGTGGAAGATAGATCCTTTCATGTTGCATGGTATTTGCAGGATTTTGCAAATGATATTTGCAGCATGATAGATCCATTTTGCATGGCGACTTTCTTTTAATTGAAGCATTGTGAAACCTCAACTTGTTAACCAGCTCATTTACACCATGGTTTTTACTCCAACGCAAAGAAACCCAAACGGGCAAAAACGAAAGCACGCAACAACAAAATAAAAACAGCTGGAGGGGGGCATGTGGGGAGGGTGGAGTGCCTCCCCCCCAAGGAACACAGAGACAACTTCCCCTTTTGCCGTTGTAGTTGTTCTTCTTTCTCTTGCTGTTCTTGTTGTTCTGGTTGTTCTTGTTTCTTTTGTTGCGTTTGTTGTTCTCGCTGCTCCTTTTGTAATTTCTGCTCTTGTTGTTTGTGCTGCTGGTGCTGTTCCTCATGTAGTTGTAGCTGAACCTGTAATCAAGCAGAACAACAAGGAAGACTACAAGGAAGCAGGTAGAAAACAAAAAAGCAACGAAAGCAAAACAAATACAAGGCATAGAACAAAAAACAGAGAAACAAAACAACAAAAAAATACACGCAAAAAAGCAGAGAAGCAATTAAAAACAGAGAAGCAAACAAAGAAGCATAGAAACAAGTTTGAAACAAAACACAGAAAAGCAAGAATGCAGAGAAGCAAAAACAACAGAAGCACAAAAGAAACAGAAAAACAGAGAAACAAAAAAACAGGAAAACAGAGAAGCAAAAAAACAGGAAAACAGAGAAGCAAAAACAACGGAGAAGCGTAGAAGCAAAAAAACAGAAAGCAGAGAAGCAAAAACAATAGAGAAGCGTAGAAGCAAAAAAACAGACCAGCAGAGAAGCAAAAAAAAACATAAAAGAAAAAAACAGAGATGGCTCAGTTCCAAAGCCACCGGGTCGCCAGTCGTGTTGAAACTGCACCGCTGCTTCCACGCTGTTGGCATCGTATCTGGCGCCGTGCACTATCAGAACGCCGTGCTGGTGCAGGTAGATGCTGCCCTGATAGACCTAAGCCCAAGCTGACCTGGCGGAGTTCACAATTTCCCATCCCTTGCGAAAATGAAATAAAAGCCACCTAGCCTATATATATATATATTATATTTATCTGTATATACCGTTAAAAATAAAGTTAGAATGCGGTTTTGGCTTCGCGTGATGGTGGCCCGTTTGGCCCCCCCCCACGGCGGGCGCATTCGAACTGAAGAATCACCTGTAAATATGCAGAAACACAGTTAGAATGCGGCACAAAAATTGGTGAGAAAATGTAAGTTTTGACTGGCATTTTAGAAGCGAAATGGAGTTAGAATGCGGCGGTTGAAAAACACACCAATAGACCATGTCGCACAGTTTTTGCTGGTATATGCGCGGAAAGTATCAGTTAGAATGCCTGCCGTTCATGGTTTGTACTTTTTTGGCAAATGGGGTAGAATGCCTGCCGTTCATGGTTTTGTACTTTTTTGGCAAATGGGAAAACAAGTTATATAATTACAAACGCGCTATAACATCTATAACATTTTCAGTGGAACCTTCACTCAGACTGTCAATGCCATTGGGTATTTTCCCGTTGATCTATATCTGCTGTAGTTTCCGTGGGCATTCTATTTGTTGTTTTTCCCCACTCTAGCCACGTGCTTGTGACCTGGAGGCGTCTTATCCGATCTTATCCGCTTCCCTTTCCTTGTCCTTTTGTTTCTATCATGTTTCTTTCCCTTCCTTTTCTTCTATGTCCTTACTCATTGATCTATATCTGCTGTAGTTTTCGTGGGCATTCTATCTGTTGTTTTCCCCACTGTAGCCACATTTTCTGCAGGAGAATGAGGAGTGCCCTTTTTCTTCTCCTCTTCCCTTTTCTCCTCCTTTTCTTTAATTATCTATAAATATATATAATATGTATATGCACATATGTATATATATATATCTATATATCTATACATATATATATGTATATACATAACTTACAAATACATATAGGGACCATCACCATTTTGGGGGTGGGAGGGGGGACCACCAGACGCTGGGCCACATATATATATAAATATAATATGCATAATATATTATATATATAATATACATACTGTAATTGCTTTCATTCAGCTGGGCCTGGGTTAAAAATCATTGGCCATATCCAGTATTGTACACATCCTATTGTTTTCTTCATGTGAAACGGGGGTTTGAATATATTCCAATTTTGAGCCATAATCCTCTAGCCACGTTCAATATATCATTCATCTCAGTACGCTCACTTGTGTCCTGGACAGAAAAATCACAGACCGAGAGGCCCAAAAAAAGAAGCGCACCACAAACTTTCGGCCATCAATCAATTCCAAGTCCTGAATCCAGGTTTCACATTGGGATTTGAACCTGAGAAAATGATAGAAAATGCATCATACATCTGGGTCTGTCATGGTCTGTCTGAACATGCAAATATGAACCCAAATGGCCATTCCTTTGAGGGGAAATGATGAACCACTGGAAACAGTGAGGGAACATGATCATGATCATCCCAATTTCATGTACAAGTAGGCCAAAGCAAATGGAATATCACCCCAATACATGTTGTAACTTCGGGTGATGTGGTTTCACATCAACAGCAGAACTCGCATTTCGCATTTGGGCTCATGCGATTTCAGGATGTCACTTGGTTACCCGTTTCTAGGCTAAGGTGTCAACTGGCTTCCTCCAAAACAGGGATAACATACACATGCCTTAATACATCACAATCACACACATGATGCATGCATATATCTAGTTCACTAATGTCCACTATATATATATAATTTTAATCACATGGACAACAAACATCCGAGGTTTACGAAAGTTTGGAGTTCTTTCTTGGCAGGAAAACATCCGTATGTTTCTTGGGGTACAAATTGGTGATCCTTACCCTTCAATCATCCAACAGATCTCCTTGCAATCTGGGGCCCGCGGTTGGTGACCACCCCTGCGATTGATGGTGAAATTCAGGAAGCCCATAGGCAATCCTCTCGGAATTCCTTTCTGAACCAAGCGACTTGGCATTTTTTTCCACGCATCTCACATATATCAATTACAGGGGATGATTCCCACAAGCAAACCATCATTTGTGAGGCTTGCTTGTTGCACCCGTTGCACCCGCACACCGAACCTGGATCGCGCGCTGAAAGACGTATTCGGAACGGGCACTTTCCGCTAAGTCCTCCAGAAGTGAAGGCATTGTGACAATGTGCTTTTGGATTTGGAAACTACCTTGGCAACTGTGGTATGCAATACAAAATTCAATTAAGTAGGGTCAAATGTGTTCTGCAGTACCATATAATATGTGTATGTATGTGTATTCACGTTTTTATGCACATGTATGTACATTATGTGTGTATGTATGTATGGATGGATGGATGAATGGATGGATAGATGGATAGACGTACGCATGTACGCATGGATGCATGCATGCATGCCATGTAAATCCAATTCTACCTGCGAAATCAGGGTGACACTTCATGGAATTTCATCTGGTTGGTGGTATACCTACCCCTCTGAAAAATATTAGTCAGCTGCGATGATTATTTCCAATATCTGGAAAAAAATGTTCCAAACCACGAACCAGTCATGGATTTTCCCATATTTTCCCCATTTAAAAAACCGCCAGCGGCGCAAGATTTACGTCCTCCCGGCGCAGCACTTGGATCCCGCGGCCGCCGCTCTGCTCGGGCAGCTTGGCGAAGAAGAGCGGCGCGGAACCGACGTCGGAATCGACGTCGGAACCGACGTCGTCGGTGGCCTGGCGTTTGATTTAGATTAAAAAAACATAGCTTGTTTAACATTATACATAATCTATATAATCTATAATTTCCATGACCTATTATTGCGGAATCAGTACAATTACATCACAAATAATTATCTATCTATCTATCTGTCTGTCTGTCTGTCTATCTATCTATCTATCTGTCTATCTATCTATCTATCCATCTATCTATCTATATGACAAACTATAGTTTGTTATATACATATATATTCATGTATATCTAGTGTATAATCAACCTTAGCTTCTTTTCAAATCTATAACTTTAGTAAAATAGTTGTACTGTTGCTATATGATATAATAACTAGATATAGTTAGTTGAACTGATTATACTACAGCTAGTTCAGTTTCTACTACTGTAATCTTAAGTCTAATTTTGTGATATCGCATTTCAGACATGATATGTACATATATGTATAATTAACCTAGTTAACATTAGTTCACAATGTTATCTATTGAGCAGCTTTCTTAAGTACATGTTTATGCTGACGGACTTTTTACCGCCCAGAAAAACGCATAGATTTTGATGGGATGGGGTGGGGTGGGGTGGGGTGGGATGTTAACGTTCATTGGCACTTACACACATACGTGATGCTACGCCACGGCACGTTCATCTGCAACTTCCACACATACGTGATGCTACGCCACTGCACGTTCTTGTGCAACTTCCACACATACGTGATGCTACGCCACTGCACGTTCTTCTGCAACTTCCACACATACGTGATGCTACGCTGGGGTGGGGTGGGGGATGTTAACGTTCATTGGCACTTACACACATACGTGACGCCACTGCACGTTCTTCTGCAACTTCCACACATACGTGATGCTTGCAGTTCTTCTGTCACATACGTGCGCTGGGGTGGGGTGGGGGGGATTTAAGTTCATTGGCACTTACACGTGATGCTGCGTTACGCCACTGCACGTTCTTCTGCAACTTCCACACATACGTGATGCTACGCTGGGGTGGGGTGGGGTGGGGTGGGATGTTAACGTTCATTGGCACTTACACACATACGTGATGCTACGCCACTGCACGTTCTTCTGCAACTTCCACACATACGTGATGCTACGCTGGGGTGGGGTGGGGTGGGATGTTAACGTTCATTGGCACTTACACACATACGTGATGCTACGCCACCGCACGTTCATCTGCAACTTCCACACATACGTGATGCTACGCCACTGCATGTTCTTGTGCAACTTCCACACATACGTGGCGCTACGCTGGGGTGGGGTGGGGTGGGATGTTAACATTGGCACTTACACACATACGTGATGCTACGCCACTGCACGTTCTTCTGCAACTTCCACACATACGTGATGCTACGCCACTGCACGTTCTTCTGCAACTTCCACACATACGTGATGCTACGCTGGGGTGGGGTGGGGTGGGATGTTAACGTTCATTGGCACTTACACACATACGTGATGCTACGCCACCGCACGTTCATCTGCAACTTCCACACATACGTGATGCTACGCCACTGCACGTTCTTGTGCAACTTCCACACATACGTGGCGCTACGCTGGGGTGGGGTGGGGTGGGATGTTAACGTTCATTGGCACTTACACACATACGTGATGCTACGCCACTGCACGTTCTTCTGCAACTTCCACACATACGTGATGCTACGCTGGGGTGGTTGTATATATATATATATTTACATATAGTATCATATAGATATAGATCTAGATAGACATTTAAAGCTGTTGAAGACAACTGCGACATTCATCAAGCAACTGTCTTGATTCGACTTCGGGCCTCTTGAAGAAGAAAAACCGCTGAGAGGGTTGTCGATGGAAAAGTTAAACCCTCAAGTTCGGAGACCCCTTTTTTTCAGTCAAAATTGACGTTTCGCTATGGCGAAACGATAATTTAGTAATAAATATGCGGACGGTGAAAATTCCGCCGGGATGTTTATGTATATATATATATCACATCCATATTGTGATGAAGTAAGTACAGCTTATAAGCTTTATGTTATATTTCTGAATCATGTATTATTATTATTTATTGACTTGAACATTTGTTTGAATTATTTCTTTAGACTTGACTGTTGAATCTACTTTTTATTTTGAACATTTAGTTTATTTTCATGTAGATCTGTTGGGACCCCCACCTTGCGGAAAAGCTGACCACCAAGAGCGAGTACAGCATGGGGATTTGACCAATGAAAATTCGAAGATTCTTCCGATGCAACATTTCATTCCAGTGGAGGGGACAACAAATAGACAACCTATGTGGTCTATGAACAAGAGGGATTGAAGAATTACAATCCCAATGGAACCAAGTTGAAACATAGAAACTGGACCAGTAACGGCTCATTAGGTGGTCACGTTCAGGATGAACAACATCTTTGGGGCTTTGGGGTTGAGAATTTCACCAATAAAAGATGGCAACAGGACCGACAAAGACACAAAGATAAGCATAATAGTAAAGAAGGGAAACGATCCAAACAACACAAAGCCAAAAAGCACGGCGACCCCCAAACATGGGAACACATATTGATTCTTTTTATCTCAGACATTTGGCATGTACGCCACAAACAGGCAAGCTTATTGGGTGCATCTATCGTCTATTCAGACTTTTTGCAGCACGCCATTGGACCATGTGTAGGGCACAGCAGTTTCAGCGGCAGATTCATTTTTGGGCAGGGAACATTGCCAACTTCGTTTTGGCTGATGAGTTTATAGGTTTCTTTCCCACCAAATTGGCAGAAACGAGAAAAACCATCAACCAGTGAGAGGTTGGAGTCAAACCCAAAAAAAACGAATATCCTCCCAACAATTGGATGATTCACTTGCAAAAAATCATCCAAAACATGGATTTGTCTGAAAATATGATACCCATTGATACCCCCAAAAATTGTTATTGACCGTTGATCATCATTCTCCTACCCATAGGATCCATGGTGCTGCTATATATGATGACATTTACCATCAATATACCCCAGTCATGTTAGCATATATACCAGCACCATGGATCCGTCATGGGCTATAAAAACCAGCCGTGAATTGGGGATCGGACCTGCAAGGCTTCCTCAGCCGTGAAGTAGGTCGCAGCAAAGGGGCCATTAGCACCTGGTGGGTCGTGAAGGCGGGAGCCCACCAAACACATGGATAACCGTGGAATGATCAAATTGAACGCGAAGGTGAACAAGAGTTAAGGTGAACAAGAAAACCTTGAAGAGCATTTGATGATATTCAAAAACCAAATTTGGGACTTGAAGCCACAGAAAGCAGGAGTTCAGCGTAAAAAGAAGTAGAAATTGGACTGGCCCAAAGTGGGGATATCACTCAAATATAATCATGATTAAGATTTTGTGAGTTGGTTCTGCAGCTTTGTTGCGTGGGATTCAATGGGTTGCAAAATTGCTTGGTAGCAGAACCACCAACAAGCAACATCACTGCGACCAAGAGATAGCAAGAGAAACTTGGGCGACTGCTCAAGTGGCGTAAAATGATCATATGATCAGGGGGCGGATCAGCTACTTGTTCTGAACAAATGGTTCCAGTCGCAGCACTTCTGTTCACCTTGAACATGTTATGTAGACTCCGCGTCAAATTTCTCGTGCACTGCAGCGATCTCTCGTATGTGGTGGTTTCACCCCGGGAAAATTCCATTACTGGTCATACGCTCATAGGAGCATCATGCCAAACGCTCAAATTACCAAGCAAAGGACCTTAAGCGAATGTGGTGTTTCTTGTACTGTTTGCCATTTTATTCCCCAAAGACTTAAGATCCAGTTGTGTATGACCAAAAGAGAACAGAAATTGGTTTAAAATTCACAGCCAAAAATATGGACAGACATATATGAATATATGTATGTATACATATATAAACACACATCCTACATCAGAATTATGTGTATATATAAAAAGTATACATAATGTTTATATACCATGTACAACAAGCAGTTCATCTTAACCATGCCAGTCCAACATCAACGGTTCAACCCCTCCACCCAGGTCAGTCAGCGCTGACCTGCGCAGCCAAACTCCCTGAGGCGCTCCTCTAAGCCACGTTTGTGGTCGTAGATATTCGTCACATCTGGCGTTGCAAGGGCTGAAAAAGACCCGAAATGATGAGGATGATGTGATGAAAAGGAGGAGGATAGTGATTCTTGCTATTATATTCTTTCTTTATTACATATTCATTTCATATTATTGTTAATTATTGTTATGTTCACTATAGATCTATATTAATTATTATGCTCATGGTAGTGGCGGTGATTGTGGAGATGATGCTGTTGATGATTGTAAAGCATGATTCTTAGCATGATGAGAACCGTCCCTTTGTGATGCTTCTGCTGGTGGTGTTCGGTGGCGGATGCGATGTAAGAAACCCACAACCAATGGATGCTGAGTACTGCAACTGCAACTGACAAATGGATGCTGTGTAGCACGAGCATGACGAGCATGAATCATGGTGACACCATCTAAGATGTAACATTCCTAGCACGACTCTTCCTTGACCTCTTCATGCCAAATCAATCACCGCACAAACAAAATGCGTACACATGCCTTTGGTTGGAGGTTTTGTTGCAAATATAGATGTGCAGCTGCACCACATAGTTATCCTACAAAACACCACATCTACACGGCCATACAATCTGGGTTTGAACTTCAAAACTGTAGAGACCCAACAAATGCTGGGCCATACTGGGCCCATCTGAAAAAGCCTTCAGATTTTTTTTAGGTCCATACAGTCATACAATGTCATACAATATCTGGTTGGTGGTTGAGCCCTACCCTCTGAAAAATGATGGAGTTAAAGTCAGTTGGGCTTATGACATTCCCAATATGATGGGAAAATAATCCAGCCATGTTCCAAAGCACCAATCAGTATATAGATCTATTAAGTCCATATTAAGATAAATTAAGTCCCATTAACCCATATTAAGTCCCATTAAGTTGATGGTTTTAATGTTCCAAACCACCAATCAGATATCATCCAGATCTCAATTTTTTCCGGCCAGATCCCACCTCGATCCATCAGCCGCAGCACAGCTTCGGAGCCCAAGGTGGGCATCTGAGCGCCGCCGAAGGTGTCGAAGTAGCTGAAGATCAGGTCCTCTTTGGGACCACCTGAACAATGGCACTGGAAAAACCTATCACCATGATATCAAATATAACTGGTATTATAATAATGATACATGATAGGATAGTTGTACTATCTTTGGTATCTTCTAGTAGGATAGGATATCATCGTACCTCATCCTATCCAATTAAACCATGATAGTGGGTCATTTTGCATGGCTCACCTGACAGCAGGGGACGCAGACAGCGACTTACCATGGATGATATCTACAGCAGTTCACAGATGGAAGGCTCATGAAGGCTCCCAATGAACTTGTTGATTTTTGTCAAGAGGATCCTCATCTTCCAAGATTTTGCCTGCGGGGTTCAGTTTTTCGGGCTATGGCAACGTTTTTTGGATCTTGGGATGATTGGGATGATTCCCGGCGGAAAGCGTTCGCTCGATGGTTTTCTGAATGCCACATGGCGGAGGCACCATGCCTCCCAAAGCTGCCCAGAAAATCATAACTAATATACAAAGTGGGGTCCCCTAGATAGCTAAGTTGGTTTATAACTCCAATAACTATGATTTATGGTACCTATAACTATAGTTAATGGGGTTTATAAACCAACAAACATAACTGGGGGGCCCCACCTTGTAGGAAGATAAAGGATTTAACAACCAAAGAGTCTGATTTAAGACATGAATTTGACCTGATTTAACCACCAAAGAATTACAGATTTATCAACCAAAAACTCCGGTTGAAGTACCCTAAATATAAAGATCCAACATTTTTCAAACACCAAAAGCTCGCATTTAACCAGCAGGATTTCACCCCTAACAATCTGGGAATTCCACAGGTTTTCTCTGCTGTTTTCCTGCCTGGATATTGTTGTGCCAAACGATGAATCGCTTCGGAGAAGGCCTTTTTGCAGGGGAATTCGTTGCCAAAAGTCAGGATTTCAAACCTGCACCAAATAGAAACACACTTCCTGCACATGCGGAAATGGACACTTCATGATTCATCCTACTTGGTAAAAAAACTTGTACCTCGAGTTGCAAACCCTACTTGGCCAAGTTGTAAACAGGACTACAATCCATTTATATGGGATCTTCAGATATTTGGCTTGGGGGTGCAAGTGGGCTTCTTAATGAATTTAATGAGATTATACTGGCTGTATGTATTGATTGTTGTTTTTTTTATCAATTACCCAATGGGAATCACAGTGATTGGCTGATCATCCATGGGAATCCTGATGTTTTGGCATACCAAACAGGGCAGATAACCCGAGACCGAGAACGGATGACACGTTCATTGAAACGTTCGTTGATAGAGATTCTCATGGTGAGGTAGATCTAAATTTGACAAAAAATGGAATGATCATCATTCCTGCGATTTGTCCTTGGTTCTGTAGCTGAACTCACAATTTTGCATAGTTTCCCTGGTTGTGTTTCCAATTTGGATAGTCATATTAATTTGCCCTGGCCGTTGGGGTCAACAGCACCCGGTTGGCAGTTCCGTCCGAGAGCCTCTTCCCCTCGGTTGGCATAGTAACGAAACCGTCCAACCTGGGTTGCAAGTTTCTCAAATCGCAAACTCCCATGTGGTTGTCCCAAAAAATGGGGGAGTGACAACCAAAATTGGCAAAATAATGATATGGAATCTGGAAACCCCAACATGGGCATTTATTTAATTTCCTCGCGCAAATGATGCTAAAATCATGACCAAACATCGATTTTATGTTACAGTAGACTAATCTTCAGAAGAAGCCATCTTGATCTAAAACCCAAGACGATCACCCATTGTCCCCAGATTATACCCTTGGGACCGAGATCTGCACTTGATAGGCCGCCCCCTTCAGCCCCAACACCTGCCAGCTGAGAGGGTATACCACCAAGTTATGACCATAAAACCGTGTGGGATATTTACGATCAAGTTTGGGCTAACTTCGGCTAGCCTATTTCAGACAAACCAAATATATATATATATATAGAGGGGGAGTCACCGACCAAAGATTGGGTAAAAATCATGATTTTTCTATAAGCCTGGGTGACCCTCAAAACGTTCAAGTTATTGACATTTTTTTAACGATGGAGATCAATGTCTTTAGGGGAGCCCCGAAAAAAATCAGTTCCTCTGATTAGACAAGTTCGATGATACCAGGACCCCCTGGTGAAGTGTATCCATCTACCCTCTGGTAAACTCACATATATAACTATGGAAAATCACCATTTTTCATGGGAAAATCCACTATTTCTATGGCCATTTTCAATGGCAAACTGTTAGTTTACCGGAGGGTATTCATCGTGGTGAGTACAGGGGCAATCTACTATGGATATTGGAAAATCACACGATCACAAAAAAGTTCAGCCAGAAACATGTAGCCGCCAGTGTAGCCATAAGTGATATACTACCAGTAAACATGGTAGTTAATTAGCAATCTATACTAGCCATAGCCATTAATATCATTAATTATATACTACCAATGCCGCCAATGTAGCCAATGGTTGCAATGCAAGAACAACACACCAGTTCTTTCAGTGTCTTTTCTCTGAGGTCGTTGGAAAAAAAACAGCATGACGGCAAGGGGATCCCACCATTGATGCCAAGGTCTTGGTGTAATTACCACCTTTTTTTTTTTGGACAAAACCGTTGACTCTCGATATCATGAGCTGATGTTGGTGTCCCACAATGGACAACATACACATCATTGTACAGATTTAACCCCGAAGCTGATAATGTTCACATCCCAACAATTCAACAGGACTGAATTCCGCTCATGTTACAATGTTCTAGATGGTCACCAAACATGCGGCATCTCAAGAATCGACGGCAAATCCTCAACCTGATGTGAAGACGTTTTCTGGCTGGTGGTTTTAACCATCTTGAAACATATGAGTTCGTCAATGGGAAGGATGACAACCCATATATGAATGGAAAATAATCCAGCCATGTTTGAAACCACCAAGCAGTTTTGGTGGTTTCAACATCTTTCCATTTCTTCGTCGCAAAAGTGGCAGACTCCCCAAGATTCTCCCCCTCACCACCTGTGGCAAATAAGCAGCACCAAAGGCCAAGGCCAATCCGCCCAGGGCCAAGTCACCTTTGGGGGATGGGACAGGGGGTTGCTAAGTTGGGGGATGATGCCTATGATTCTTACAAATAAAATTGCATTATACATGTTCATCAGTGATTCATCAGTGTATATTATTTATTATGTTTAGTTCTTCTTGTTATTGTATTATATATATATATGTAGATAGATAAAAAAAAACACACATATATATATAATAAGTATATGTTCCTTTACTTTTATCTTATAGAACAACGAGTTCAATATCTGGAATCCACATCTTCCTACGGGGATGGACCGCAAAGATATCCGCCTGCCCAGGTCTGGGTTGGCGGTACTCCCTTGAAACAGTTTGAGGAAATGGGATCATCCTCCCAGATATAGACAAGTACCCTTCGGTTCTCAAACGTGGCAATGGAAAATCCTATCGCATCCTGTATAAATCAAGGTTGTAAATAGGAACATCATCTATAAATGGTCAATTTTCCATTGCCATGTATGATGACCGGAGAGTAAAGAACATCAGACCACTACAAGCTGGTGGCCCCAATGGCCCCCAGTTACAAGGTTATAATTTGCATTATAAGCCCATTTAGCTACACATATATCCATTATAAACCAAAGATAATTCACTTATAATCCAACAGAAACCAACTCAATTATCCAGGGGAAACAACCTTGTAGTGATGCCAACAGCTGCCATCATGATCCCCGGCCTGTGGTTATACCACTCGCTGGCAATTCAGCATTCATCTGCCGCAGAAAATTGGGATGACATGGCTCATTTCACTCGGGATAACCGTTGGGAATTTGAGAATGCGGAGACAACCATTTGACCTAAGGGATAACAAATTATTATAAATGGCTCTTGTTATGTTTAAAAACCAATTCTGTGGAATTCATTGAATAAGTGTGGTTTTATATGTTTTTTCCCCTAAATCTATTGTTCTTTTGGCGAAGGCCCTTGAATGCTACAGGCCCTAAATCTATGGCTGCCTGAGACCAACATGCCTCACGGTAAAACAGTTGCACGCGTTTCTCGGACAATGGGGGAACCACGATTTCCGTCTCAGAACCTGATGATAATCGTTTTTGTGGCCATCATCTTCAGGTTCAACATGGGAAGTGTGATAATGGCAACCATGATTTGTTTCTCACCGTTTTCCCATGTCTTTGGCATATTTTTAATATTTTTATGGCCATCACTTGTTTGCTTCAAACGTTCAAACGCCCCATGCCCTTCGCGGCCTGCATTCGGCGCCAACGGAGTGGACCCAACGCATGGCCGGCTCCGGCAAAGTTTGGCGAGGCGCCCCATGCAACGAAGGACCTCAACCGGCAAAGCTGATGAAGCTTGCTGAATGTTATATCATATATGGATTATATATGATTATGTATGATTATATATTGTTATGTATGAATCATACGATATATATATATATATACACGTGTGTATATATACATATATATATATGAATGTTGGGATTCTATATCATCCACAATATATTGGTCACATATATATATAGATATATTATGATTTCTATGGAATCTATGATTCACTTTGGCGACTAAAACAAACTGGGATGCACACACTTCAGTTTCTGTCAATATTCGATGGGTGATAATCCTTACTAGTTTTAAAACATCCTGGAGAGTATCTGACATGAAGAAAAAACCATTGAGATTGAGAATATTGTCACTTAGTGTCATGTTTTAGGAACATCCTTCAAGAATAGTGCCATAAGGTTCTGAAAACTGGGCCTAGCCGGTAAGTTTCACTGGGAAACTAGACACCGACCTCCAGTGCTCCACGGTGCTAAATGTTCCCAACGCCATGGAGCATATGGGAACCAAAAACTGAATACAATCAACCAAAAGCACCACCATTTTTTGTGTTTCAATCACTTGGATGTCGAAAAACGCATGAAATGATCAAGAACGTGGGTTCTGTAGGTTGTGGTGAGGATTGCTTCGTGCATCTTCAGTCGGTTAACAGCCCAAGGCACGGGGGAAAGATTCAGAAGGGGTCAACTACCAAGTTAGAAATATAATAGGAAACATATACCTTATCCTGCCAAACTGCTGGTAGATTATGGTATATTACTAGTGGTACATTGCGTTCTATCTTTTTGGGGAATTAGAATATGTAGCTTAGTAGCTTGATTCGTAAACATATTCTCTTGAAACAATCTTCATGCAGCAGTTCATACATTGCTCAATGGCTTTGAAATGCAATGATAGTCATACCGTCATACCAAGGGAACATGGCTGGTTATTTATCTGGGTAAATTATAATATTTCACTAACCTGAATTAAGGCCATTTGGGGATGTTTTCCCTTATAAACCATGATTCCAGTGAGGTCGCAGTGAGGTCGTTATAATTTACCCAGATTTATACATCTGGCTGAAAAAAAAGATTTCACTAAGCTGATAGCTAAACAATTCGGCAAATTTGGGAATGATTCCCTAACCATCATTCTTTCCGTTATGCAAACACCATGATTTCCAGTCAATGAGGCAACAGCTCCTGCAAAATTGCTCTGCTAAGTATGGCTGGGACTTGGATCAGCGCTGCACTTTGTTTGTCTAAACCAGGCTACCCTCTGGTTATGTCTAACAGTTTGCTATAGAAAATCACCATTTCTAATAGCTAATCGAACTCGATGGGCCATCTATACCATAGCAAACTGTTAGTTTACCAGAGGGTAATCACCGGAAATTCTTGATTATCCATCATTTTCTGGTTGGTGGTTGACCTATGTTGACCTACCCCTCTGAAAAATGATGGAGTTAAAGTCAGTTGGGATGATGAAATTCCCAAGATTTCTGGAAAAACACATGTTCCTAACCACCCACCAGCCATTAATCACCATTAACCAACATCATTAACCATCATTAACCATCATTAATCAATGTTAATCTTTGATTATAAATATCCCCTGTTTCCACATTTTTCCCTAACATGGCCATGACTTGGGTGTTCATCCGCCTGATTTGAAAAATCGGCCGGGCTGCAGGAGCCCAAGAAGGGCTGCGTGTGGCGGGCGTCGCGACCGCGACATGGCGTGAGTTGACGCTCTTGAAATGTGATGAATCAATAAATTGCTGTTTTGATCTGTTTTGCTGAATATATGATTTGTCTTTGCATTTTTTTCATTGGTTTATATATGATTTGTCTTTGCATTTTTTTCATTGGTTTACTGAGAATGATAAAGTATAAAGTATGATGAATCAATAGATATTTCACATTATTCACCAAAAAGTTGGTGAAATAATGTTGGATTGATGCTTCCCTGATATTCCCAAGCATCCAATGGAATTCATGCTGTCATGCTGTCACCTGAAGTCACCCAGCAGTGCCCAGTGTCGCTGTACTTCTGCCACAGTAGACCTTCGAGGCCCTGCTCAAGCACCACTTCGACCTCTTTTTGGGACTCTGTTTGTATATTTCTGCCGGTAAATGGTAAGTAAATGTAATACATAACATATCATCATACCGTATCATACCTCACTTTTATCCATTCCTCATGGCGTCTAAGCGTTCAACCACAGTCATCACCACAGTCACAGGATCGAATACTATTAGCATATGGGAAATCATTGTATACTAATGGGATATATATACATATACATATAAAGATTGGACAATCCATAGAATCAGCCGCTGTTTCTGGTTTCTATCTGCTGTCTCAAGTTCTTCGCAAACCTTGTCAAACACTGCAACCCTTACGCAATTTCTGCGCTGGAATCGCTTGAACAAATCTGGCAAATGTATTTTTTTGCATGCACCCATGACCTGTAGCAGAGCTGGGTCTCTGATGTCCCTGTTCAACCTCAAACTTCGAACCTAGGATTTAAAGTAGTTAGTGTCCATTTAGTTAACATATTCGGTCAAGATCCAAGATGGTCCCACACATGGATCCAGTCAATACAAAAAGTTGGGCAGGGGATCCTGGAAGAAATGATGCGCCCCAGGCTCCCCGGCCCAGATTTTCTTGCCCATAGGATCCATGGTGCTGGTATATATGCTAACATAAATGGGATATATTGATGGGATTCATGGCACACCATATATGGCAGCACCATGGATCCGTCATGGGTTGAAGGTTCAAAAAATTCTTCACCGCTCGGAACTCAAACCTTGGCCCCTTAGGGGGCCGTTTAACTAGTTACTAGTTGAAGAACTATAAGCCCCCAAAGGTTCGATTCGAATTGAAACAGCCGAAGGCACTTAGGTCATAACTTAGATTTTTTAGATGTCATGACTTGGTATCACTGAACTCATAGTGGTGGCAGTGGCAGGCATCTTATCAAAAAACATAGTGCCACAATCTTCAGCCACAATCCATTGCGACAGAATTGGAGCAACCTCTGCTCCAATGATGCATCAATTTATGCTCCAAAATCGTATCCACAATACCTGCAAGCCCAGTTCCAACCAGAAAAAAACATGGTGCTTTCTCCAGTTCCAGCTACATTTCTGTAGGGATTCCACGTGCCCGGCCACGGCCACTTTTCTTCAGGTTGGCCATACGGTCTTTCGCCTCAATCCACCGACAGGAAAATGGTGACCATGACATCCGTTGCTTTTTCAAAGCACATGACACATAATATCACATAATACACATAGCAAGAATTACCTAAATATGACTAAGATATGGATATGAATCAAACTGTCCCCCCTTACACGAACAATTAAAATCCATTAAAATCCATTATTCCACTGTTAGTGGGGGGGGTCACTCCAATGGATATGAGTCAAACTTGGGTACAAAATGGATTGCTTCACATCCGATCTCTGGTCCTGTGCCTTTTTTTTTACCACGCGCCCTGTGTTGAGCTCCACGCCTTTTGGGAACAGGGTCTAAAGGAGCACCTTCCCGGGTGGCGGGAAGTGAACACTGGAGGTCCCCAAAGCCCATAGATTCTTATTCGAATTATATCAAAAAATATATGTTTGGCGGGATGAACATCTATAAACACCAGCTATTTCAGGGTTTCACTTGAGGATTTCGGGGTTTTGACTCATACTGTCATACCCATTATCATCTATTATTGATAGTTGTATCATACGGTATCAATGATATATCCCCATTGTGATCGTCTATATCCAGCTATGAATGGATAATCTATGATTACCACAATCTATGATTACCTAATGTACCCTCTGGTAAACTAACATAACTATGGAAAATCACCATGTTTAATGGGTAAACTCACTATTTCAATGGCCATTTTCAATAGCTATGTCTGACATAACCAGAGGGTATCCCATTTGTTTTTCTCCCATTGGCCAACCACACCTGTGCCAAGCAAGATCAGCTTCATGGCCAACTCAGGGTGTTCTTTCACGATCGTTTCCTTGGTGCTGACTGAAGAACATGTCGTGTGGACGTAACCAACAATCATGGGATATCAAACGGGTACATATTGGATATTTCCGGTTTCCCGGAAATGGAATGGTAATATATATATATATATAATTATACATATACAGTAGGTACTAAGAATTACTAATATGTATTAATATAACCCCCAATAATTGATAGCTAAGATTCGTCCTAAAAATATCGGAGGAAGGCTCGGAGACCCCGACCCTCCCTGAGGGTTGGTTGAACCCCCAAGAACATGATCCTCCAAACGTGGCCAGAAAAAGCAGTGGATACTCCAAAGGGAAAGAACCTCTTAAACCAGGACATGCTCATGATCATGCATTGTCCATCATGCATCTATCATCTATCATCTATCATCTATCATCTATCATCTAGCATCCATCGTCATCATCTATCATCAATCATCCATCCTGTCATCAACTAAGCCACCTATACCCACGACGGATCCATGGTGCTGCCATATATGGCAATATATGGTAACATGGATCCCATCAATATACCCCGAAACGAGATGAGTGTGAATCATATGTTAAGATGACCAGCCAATGACAATCAACCCATTTCCCATGACGGATCAATGGTGCTGCCATATATATCCATATATGGTGTGCCATGGATCCCATCAATATACCCCAGTCATGTTAGCATATCCCATAGGATCCATGTATGGTATATATGCTAACATTTGGGGTATATTGATGGTAAATGTCATCATATATAGCATACATGGATCCTATGGGTATATACCAGCACCGTTAGGATCCGTCATGGAATAAGGACCTCACTCTGAACCTCCAAGGATCAATTTGCGCCTGACTCTGCTTCAGGATGGCCTGGAGAGTGTGTGAAAAAAATTGCCCGGGGGAAAGGGTGAAACAGCCTTCCAGAAATGGAGTATATCTGAGAATGGATGGTTTATGGCGTTAGAGTTGCTTTGTAATGGCCTTACAATCGCTTTGTAATGGTTTTAGAATGGCTTTATAATGGCTTATAATATCTTATAATGACTTATACTTATAATGGTTTAAAAATGGTTTATAATGGACAATCCACCTGAATGATTTGGGGTTGCACCCTTTTTAGGAAATCTCCAAGATTGAACAATGATGTCCCTTTGGTAAAAGGAGTCCTGACCCCGGTTTGGAAACCATTCACTGTGGGTTACCCCGCTATGAATTAAAAGCACTGGTGAGAAAACGACATCTATGAAAAGTATTGAAAAGTAGTATATTCCTGCAATCCGGTGATTTAGACAATAATTTTATTTCCCATTACCCTCCAGTAAACTGACATAGCTATGGAAAATGGTCCATTTATAGATGAATTCCCATAAAGAAGGTGATTTTCAATAGTTATGTTGGTTTACCAGTAAAATGGCAAATACCAGACACATTATTAGACCATCCAATACAGTACCTCAGCACTGAGCGAAGTTGCGGTTGCTGTGGTGAGAGCTTTGAAAACCATCCCAGCTATATGTCCAGGACTGTAGGAATACGCACATGTCCTTTGGCCAGGACTGTCAAGTTCAAAGGATTTCGTGGGTGCTTTGATTTTCCAGCGCATCTTCCCTGTTTCACATTGTTCTAGCTGCCAGTGCAATTCTTGGGCCTGACATTCATTTTGTATTGGTTTACTTTTTCTTTTAATATCCCCTGTCTTATCTTCCTCATTCGCTGGTTTCGCTAGCTACTCCATGTTGGTGAAATCCCGAAGTTTGGCATTACGGTTCATCCTAATGTGGTAGTTACATCCCCATTTTTCATGGTTGACTATCCATTTTGAATGGTCAAACCATCTTTGATCTATCAAGCATCCAAATTGTTTGGTGCTCCTCATTTTTGATGGTTAGAAAACATGGGTTTGAGTGAAAGCGGGTGGGGTACCCTAAAACAACTACTTTCGGAGGAATCCTTAGTGAAAATACACAACAGTTTTTTTTCCCCTATTTTTTCAGACAAACCTAAATAATCCCCAGGATATTCTAATCGTTATACCCTTGCAGGGGTCCTTTAGACCCTCGCTCCACCATCACCCTTTGCCAACTGTTCCCCAGTTCCAGCCATTCCAGATCTTTAGTACTTGAGGGTATCAATCCTTCATATCCCAGTGAATCCCCATTGAATCCCGGCATCTTTGTTGCGGTTTCGAACCTCTCGTTCCAGAGTCAGCAGGCTCCAGCAGGCCTCCCCATGAAACTCCGGACATCACGAATCTACTGTGGGGATGTTCCACGGGATGCCAACAATACCGGTGATACATTGCGATATATGGCGGTTTCCTAAATGGGGTGGTACCCCATAATCCCCCCAAATCCCCCCAAATCATCCAATATTTATAAATGGATAAACCATACATTTTGGGGGTAACTCCATCTATGGAAAACCCCCATCATAATCTGCCCAGGTATATTGATGTTCCCCTGACCCTTTGGGCAGTTGACAACTCAAGCAGCAAAGAGTGGGAAATCATGGAGCCAGTCGAATTCAGTAAACCTGGAATCGCAGAGAAATTCAGATCACTCGCAGAGAGTGATAAGTTGGTGCCCATTCTTTTGGGGCAAGATAGTAACAACTGCAACTAGTATAGTCAAATTTAAAAGGTGTCCCGTGTGTCCGTAAAAACGCCAACAGGTATATGTATATATATATATAACCCTGGAGGGATGAACTATCTATTTTTGGGTGACCTTAATTTTGCAACAACATGTTGCGCGAAAAACACTGTAGGTAAATAGTCCTTTGCATGGGGGCATGCACTTGTTGGAAACAGCAAACAGTAGTTTTGATCCTTGTGCATACATGAAATGAAGGTTGGAATCAAAGTGACTCAAAGTGGACAGGTTTGGATCTATATTGTTTTACTTTATACAAAAACCAAGCAAGAAACTAATACCAAAATCAGGGTTCACACAAGGCCATAACATCTGCGCTCCCTTTCATTGTCGTTTTTGTGCTGCAGAGAGTATTCCTTTCAAATCAACCCATCTCACAGCTGGAGTCAACCCAAATAACGGCGGCTAACTAGTAACAAATTTAAAATTAACATAATTAACCTCCTGAAAACTAGCTGGGAAATCCGCAAAAAAACATGACAAACAAATGATGACTTTCTGGACATCGCAGGCTATCAACGGTTTCCAACCATTTCCAAACTATAGTTTTCTGGAGTGGACTAAACTGATCAAAACAATTTCTGTTTGCGGCTCTCAGCGCTTCTTCTTGCCATCCTTTTTGGCGTCCTGCATGGAACAAAATGTCTGGCAGAAAAAATGGGTAGCTATGGTGGCTCCAGAAAATGGATCGGTCCAAAAATATATAGGATAGCCAAAACTCCATCCACTGATGATAAATCAGTTTTCCATGTCAAAATTGCAATTTTGGGGTATGTCGACAAACCCAAATGAAAGTGAAACCAAACATGGTGTGGAGCACTCTGCAACTTGTTCCTCCCAAGACGAAGGCGACACTCCAAAAATTACGGAAAACAATTTACACTACCATCTGGTAATCAAGCATTGCTTCCTGGAAAATCCTCAATTCTTCTTGGCAAATTTCCGATGTAAATATATGTAAATACAAATTTTTGATGGGTAGCCATGTTTGACCATGATGCTCTTTGAGCTGATAAATCATATCGAAAATCACAAGAAACAATCAGCACCCTTGCAGGTTGACGCTCCATGTTTCTTTGCCGGAACCCAAAAAATGCAACGGAAGCCAATCAGAAAACCATCTTCCAAAACCCGTTCTTGGGTTCCATGGCACAACAGTTATTGATCAGTTTGCCACTCACAGACTTGAAATTGAGCGCGACTAAAATATCAAGTAATCCACCATTTAGTTTGATGATTTTGCAACTATAAACCTCCAAGGCTTGTTCGGGGATTTTCCAGCTAGCCACGTTTTTAAATATATATATATATATATTATATATCATTATATATCATTATATATCATTACATATCCCATTAATATCCAATTAATATCCCATTATATAATATCCCATTAAACCTCCATTTCTATCCATTTGTCCCATTAATATCCATTAAATCACCACTATACTCATTAAATCATTATACACACTGAATCACTATAAATTCCCATTATGATATATAAATCACTGGCAATCATAGTCTATGATGAGGTCGGCAAGTTTTTGGTCCTTCCCCTTGACCTTCTCAGTCTTTGGCGCGCGCAGGTAAAAGAAACCACCTCTGCAGTTGTTTCGCTGGTTTCATTGACGGGAAATATATGTGAATAGCTGGTTAATGGATGTTCATTCCCCTAAAAATATGGGCAATCATATGCAATATGCATTAATTATCATTAATGAAAATAATAGGTTTTGACCGTTGAAAAACCCATATGATCTACAGTACCCCATATGAATATATAGCCATCCCCAACAAATTGGATGACGTCCGACTCATTGGCATCTGGGGTTTTTCGATCATCTATAGCCATGGTATAGATATCTATATGGCCCATAGAAATAGAAGTTTTACCTATGAAACATGGTGATTTTCCATGGCAAACTGTTAGTCATAACCAGATGGTAATACTAAACATAGACTACCCTCTGGTAATGACTAACAGTTTGCTATTGAAAATGGCCCAGTCGAAATAGTGGATTTACCCTTTGATAGCATGGTGATTTTCCATAGCTATATGTTAGTCATTAACAGAGGATACTCCCCCAAACGAATAGAACCACTTCAATTTGCCACGATTTTTGTACTTTTAACCGCATCTAAAAAGGGGGTTGCTGACTACAAGAAAGCCATGGGATTTCCCAACCAAACATAGCGTTGCAAATCCCACGCAAGACGTTCCTTCTACATGGGGGGTTCCATAAATAGGGGTACCCCCAAACCATCTATTTTGATAGGATGTTCCATTATAAGCCATCCATTTTAGGGGTACCTCATTTATGGAAACCCTCACATCCTCCTACCACTTCCAGAATTGTTGGTTCGTGGGGTGGATAAACCAACACTGTACTACAAATTGGTGGATTTTGGCAGAAAGAATTGCTGTCATGAAGATGACAAATGGGACCAAGGACAGGACATGACCAAGGGAATGGGGGTCTTGTCTTGGTCGGCCAGTGTGCATAACAGAACTGATCCCATGATCTGTACAGCGCGTCTCTGTGGTATATATATACATACTAATTGCTGGTATACCTACCCCCCTGAAAAATATGAAAGCCAGATTGGATCATCATCCCAACTATTCCGGAAAATAAAAACATGTTCCAAACCACCAACCAGCATGTGTGTGTGTTTGTATTCTCATAGGTATGTTTGATGAAATCCTTGTTGTTGTTTACGACAACGTCTAGTCACGTGGTCCCTGGCGCCTGCCACCATGCCCAGCAAAAGGATCAGAACGAGCGCCAAGGACCAGTTAGATTCACCTGTGGCAATGGAAAAAAACACACACCAATCATCCCCCTGAGATCGAAAACTGAGGAGTCATCACTGCAAAACGCTCATATGCATATCATATGCATATTAGTGAATCTAACTGGTTATGACTCACAGTTTCTATATACCTCAAGTATATACCTCAGTTTTTGATCCCATGGGGATATGTATGAGATAGATGTATGTTTCTGTATATACCATCTGGTTATGACTCACAGTTTGCCATGGAAAGTCACCATGCTATTCAGTTCGGTAAACCATCTATTTCTATGGGCCATCTATACCATGGCTAAACCCAATAGTCCACCTTCATATTGAATGCAAACTCGAAATTATCCCCAAAGCGCGGCGAAATGGTAGCTTTGTGATTGGGTTTAGGACATTAGTACAGTATATACATCAATCATATGCTCGTTTGGTACACCATCATTGTCATTGGTGATCAAAATAATTAAATTGATTTAATCAAACCAATATTGATTATTGATATTGACCCCAAATGACCCAATTGGTGATATCATATGTTATGGGTAATAATCTATTGTTGGTTCAATATCAACCTGCGCCACCCAGGCACACTAGGCACGCCTGCTGCAGGAGTGCTGGTGGGTTTTTCGACTGTTTCGACTGGTATCGTGCCGTCACCTGCGCGATATGCCATGGTGGACTGGGTCCGAGCAAAAATGGGATACCCATGGTACCCCCTGTCATAAGCTTGCCTTTTACGATCTTGAAAGAGTGGCTATTCTGGTGTAAAGATGTGTATAGCCCATTTTCTGCCACATCCATGTTCCAACCAAGACCAAGTACAAAAACATACACAAGAGAAAACACACACACATGATTTAAGGTCAGCTCCTCTCGTTGTCGCCATGTAATTCGTGCGGTATGTTCCAGCAAAGGGCAAAATTGCCATGTTTCCCAAATCAAAAAACAAAACCACATGTTGGGTTTGTTCCCCTATTTCCCACCTAAAAATACTGGGATAATCGGATAGTCTATTGTGAATCTTCTGAACGGTTTCTTGAAGCATTCGAAACTACTAGGAAGACCGAACTTTCTTCTTTCGCCGTCGGAATCACATCTGGGAAACCTTGATTATGGCTAACCTTGAATACCCCATTCCGAACAAAAACGCACATTTCTATGCGGATATTGAACATATCCAAACCGTCCCTGCTGGAACTATTCCATACTTTCAGGTTTCTAGCACTTTCCCTATCCAAGAGTCGGTGAAAGCGTCCCAGTCCGCCTCGTGTGATCGAAACCATCTCCATCTCATAGAGCACTGCAGTGTCATAGGGTAAGAAGCCCGCTCGGGTGTTGTACCTCGTGGATCAGGGGGATTTCGCCAGAAAAAAAATGGGTATACCCAAACTCAATGGCCATGACTCAGGATCCGATTTATTGGAGGTACCTACCATAGAAAAAAGGCATATGTTATGTAAGGCCTGTGTATATAAGGGAATATCCCATTGACAAACAGCCACAAAAAACATCTTGCATTGGCCATGGGCCATGGATTTTCTGCGAGTAGTTGGAGGATCATCCTGATGACTAACTGGAACTGGGGGGAACTGACCCAGTGAAACGTGGGATGACCCCACGTTTACCAGGAGTTTTTGGATAGCGGGGTGATCCGGGTGATCCAAGTACAGACCCCACTTAGACCTCGCGGACTCGAAAATGTGTTGCGTTGCTGGATATAACATGATATAACTACATTGGTTCCATACTGGGTTTAACTACATTGGAGATTGGAGTTTAAAGGGAATCTGAATTAGTCAGTAGATCTCTCACAGAGGTGGTCATCAACTTCATTCTCATAACTCAAATCATGTTTATTATGATAAACCATCTACATCCATTTATTATAATATAAATGAACCATTGTCAATGGAACCATAATAATTGGTATAATAATAGTTGTCATGTTTATCATTAAAATCATTATTATGATAGCTCATTTATCAATGAAACCATTATCAACTTGAATACGATAATAAATAATTAATAATTAAATGATAATGATTTCTTAAAAACATATAATGATATGTAAACATTACCATTAAGTAGTATAATTAAGTAATCATTAATAAACATTATCTTATCTACTTAATCCAGGTTTACCTAGCAGAGCTTCTCCCAGTGGGGCCAAGTCACGCCAAGGCCCCAGGAATCTTTGCCCGGACCTTTTCCTCAAAGCGATGCTGTGCTCAGGGCTGATGGGGCGCTACCACTTACAGTATATATTCACCTATCTATCTACCTACCTACTTATCTATTGATCTATCTATCTAGAAAGAGATGATATGCAAGTTTAGCATAAGTTGTAAACAATGTTCCAACAGGATTTGCAACATGTATACAGATTAATAGAGTTATATAGTTAAAAATATATGTGTATACTGTATTGCTTTTATATGGCATCAATCACAGGTGGTCCAGCAGCCATATTGTAGGTTCGACTCGATTTGGCCATACGCAGTTAAAGTTTTCAACCAACCATAAGGTCGAACTATTCAAGTGTGGAGGATGCACAACACACACCGGTGATTAAAGGCTTGGAATGCGTTAACGGCAAGGAGATAGCCCTCGCCTGACCGTTCCTGGGTCCAACATCCTTGTTGAGCGTACCAAGTGATGACATCTAACTCAATGCCTTTCTCCATGTCTGGTGATGTACCGTGTTATGTTTACAAGATATGCCCAGAGTCACAGCTACACTCACCAAAAGATGCTAAATATAGAGTGATATGCTAATTCGTGGTATACCTACAGTAACCCCATGGAAAATATGAAAGTCAGATTGGATCATCATCCCAACTATTGGGGAAGTTATAACAGCCATGTTCCAGTCACCACCAACCAGGATGAATTTGTCTGAAAAATTCTGGAAACCAATAGCCCTATTTTCAGAACGGGATCCGATGGGCTTTGAATCCATTGGGATTGAGGCTACCCAAAATTTTCTCGGAAACCTCCTTTTTTTTGTGTAGGAATCATACAGTACCACCTGGTTATTTTCCTAACAGTTCGCCATGGAAAGATCCACCATGCTATTCAGTTCGGTAAACCATCTATTTCGGCCATCGAAAAACCATGGCTAGCCCTGTTAGTCATAACCAGAGGCTACAAGAAAAAGTCATCGGATGCGGCATCCGAAATTGCTCAACCAGGGCTCTCCCTCGCACATTTGTCGAAGTACTGCTTCCATACCTCTCCCGAGCGCGCGTCGTCAGCGTGTTTCGTTCGCTGTATCGATCACGTCGGCTCAAGATGGATCAAAACAAAGTACGAAACCTGGGTTTAGTATTGGATCTACCCTCTGGTTATGACTAACAGTTCGCTATGGTTTTTCGATGGCCCTAATCGAAATAGATGATTTATGCTGATTTACCTATTCAAAATGGTGATTTCCCAGTTCGCTACGTTAAATAACGTCTTTTTTTTTGACTTCCAGGCGCTATTTCACGTCGATCAAGGACCCGATCCCGACATACCCCTGTCTGACCTGAAAAACTCCTACCATGTGCCTGTCTGAAAATAGGGTAATTACCGAAGAAAACCTATGGTTGATCATCATTTCCCTGATACCCTCTGGTAAACTCACAGTTTGCTTCTGGAAAATCACCATTTCTAATGGGTAAATCAACTATTTCGACTGGGCCATTTTCAATGGCTATGTTAGTCATTACCAAATGGTAACATGGCTATTTGGAAAGTGAATCCATCACGTTCACCACATGCAGTTTTTGTAGACATGAAGGGCGATGCAGTGCAGGGCATTGTCGGCGCACCGACAATGAGTCGAGGGCTTCCCAGAGTAAATTCCAATGGTTTATCCTCCTGCGTCAACGTGCCGGTGATTCAGGACTTGAGTCGGTGCATCCATGTGCATCCCAGTGAATATATGAGTAAATGAGCTGGCTCAAATCAATACATAATTGGGGATATCCCTGGATCTAACATATATAATCTTATGTGTATCTAGCTGGATTGTATGTTGCCTACTTATTAAGCAGGATGCAGAATATAAAACCAACATCTGATGGCAGTGTCCAATAGGATAATAATCTTCTGGTCAAAACAAAAACATATGATTTTGGAGGTTCTATGCGAGTTGTTGAAAAGGTAGTAGCTTCAAAAACATGAGCTGTTTCATCTTGATGTTCACATGGCCAGCCTTAGGTTCATTCCTTAGAAAAAACACACATAATTTCAAGTTGGGTAATTCTCCAGGCAGTAAGGTTTGCCCGGTTCAAAAAACAAAACCTACAAAATTGTCAGGAACCTTGATCTTCATATTTCAATGCATTGTCGTCTTTGCGTCTGTGGTTATGAAACAATGAACACTTCTAGTACCTGTAGGGTGTCTGAATCACCCATCACAAAAAATAATCAAGTGTGATTTTTGCCCGCATTCTCTTTGCGAGGGCCCTAACATATTCCAATGCATGAACCAGTTGCACATCTGGTATTGATCATGTTTAGTGCCAACCCACAAGTTAGGTCATTTCCACCGAAATGTTGTATCCTGATTAGTAAAGTAGCGAGGTTCGCTTTTGTGCCATTTTTCCAAATTATTCTGAATCCATGCATTGTTTGGAAGGTTCACAATTGTGGCAAGAATTCTTGGGAGACCATCTTTTGTCCAAAAAATGTTTGTGTAAAAAAACTCTGAACTTTTCTTCTGCAAAAAATCTTGCTTGTCTCCCTGCCCCAAAAGAATCAGACCGCTTATAAGGCCTTTACTAAAAAACAGTGTTTCATTAGTATTTCCACAAATTTCCAAGGCGCTGGGCCATGAGAGGGCCCAGTTCACTATTTAGTAGGTTTGTTCTCAGGGATCACAATTGCAGCAAACTTTTCCAGAGCTGATCCTGGAACCAAGAGAAGAAAGAAACGCCTTTTACAAAAGCAATTGAGAAGTTCAAAGTCCAAGCCTTGCCTAAAAGAATCAAACAGCTTGTAAAACCCTTATTAAAGAACAGTTTTTCCACACATTTCCAAGGCACTGGGCCATGAGAGGGTCCAGTTCACTATTTAGTAGGTTTGTTCTCAGGGTTCACAATTGCAGCAAGCTTTTCCAGAGATGATCCTGGGTTCATCTTCCCCTGCCTCTTCCCCTTCCTCTTTCTCTCTCTCTCTGTTCCTCTTCCTCTTCCTCTTCCTTTTCTTCTTCCTCTTCCTCTTCCTCTTCCTCTTCCTTTTCTTCTTCCTCTTCCTCTCTCTCTCTCTCTCTTTCTCTTTCGTTTTCTCTTTCTCTTTCTCTTATTACACTTTGAATAAAAAAAACTTAAGGTGGAAAAGGTAGCGCAGTCAACATGCTGAACCCCACTCACTACAAGGTGCTACAAGTACTACAAGTATCACAAGTCACAAACCCCCATTCCATGCGCAGGTTAATCATGATTCTTCCTAGCAATGGGAAATGATACAACCCCGAAATCTTTAGACGCAAACCTTTGGGTGGACACAAACCCATAGCACGCCCTTCCGTCTCCTTTGTTTCTGGGTCAATGTTGGAATCCATCTGCAAACCCACCTGGCAACGGCTACTGGTGGAGTGTCACAAGCCACTGAATGGTCATTCAAATACCCCCAGCCTCCGCTTATCTCTGGGGATAATCAACAACAATGTGCAAATTCTGAAGGATCCAACACCTCCTGTGTCAGCCAGCCAGGCGGCAGCATGTGCTTTTAGGGTGGTTGAAACATACAGTATACTTTTCGCAAAACACATATCATCATAATCACCAGCAGCAGCAGCAGCAGCAGCATCATCATCATCATCATCATTTTCATCTTCATCTGGGGTCATTCATGTTTTTTGTGCTCTGAGTTGTCGGAGAATTTGAGTGGGAAGACTGGTAACCGCCACTTCCAAGCTCATCTTCATTTTCCCCAACGAAATTGCCATCATTTGGCAATTGATTATGAAATTTGTCTTTGCAATTATATCTGGGTAAATTATAATATTTCACTGACCTGAATTAAGGCCATTTGGGGATGATTCCCCTTACTAACCATGATTCCAGTGATGTCGCAGTGAGGTCGTTATAATTTACCCAGATTATATCCCATGATATTCTTATTAAATACCCATAATATTCCCATACATATTCCCATCAGATTCCCATGTCACTGTGATCGAAGCACAGACGGCACCTGCAATGGTCGCCCCTTGCCATCCGTTGTTTTGCCACTGGGCAACTCCGCGATAAAGCCTGGAGATCAAAAGCATCTCGGCCAACACTCACAGTGACATAGTCCTGAAAACAGTTGTGACTATTTAGATCAAAATTATAAATACAACCTTAGTTATGGAAGTTATAATACCATTTGCAACTGTTGAGGGCCATAAATGCACCACAAATGTAGGGTCACTTTAGACCTAAAGAATTGGACTGCACCAAAAAATACCAAACATATATATAATAGGAAAAATTGGCATTTTCGTGATATCAATCCACACCCCGAATGCATTTGTTGTAGACTGAATGTGGCCAGTTAATGCCAATCTTGCGGGTTCAAAACGATACTTGGATGATCCGTTCATTGAGTATCTGGCAATATCTGGCTAGTAAGCCTGCTTAGTAGCTCCCCTTTGATGGGTTTATCCCATTCATGGCTGATTTATAACCCTATTTACTCATGAAATCCTAAGTGGGATGATCCTCTAGCAGTACGCCAGGGCCCCAGTGCCTTTGTGTTTGAAAGCGACCACATCACCATCACGGCTAGCACCACGGTCACAGTCCTGGAGCCGGGCCAAGCTTCAGCACCCTCTGGTCATGTACCCTGGCAATGGGGCATGTTCCAGTTTTCATGGAAGAATCTACACTCTGATTATTCAACATAGCTATGGAAACTTGCCATTTACAAATAATCTATGATGATTTACTGTTAAACACATGGTGATGTTCCAGTTCGCTACTTTAAATAACCAGAGGGTATTACCTCGACAGATATGATCCATACATGTTTGTTTGTATGTACATGTATATATATATATATGATATGATATATATAATTATATGTAAATTACATCTATCATTTATCAGTATCATACGTATATAATATTAAATATTAATAATCAACCTGAATTAAACCTATTTTTGGATAGTTACCCCACATTACCGCTACTCACCGTCATTCCAGTCATTCCAGTCATTCCAGTGACGTGGCAGCAAGGTTGTTAGAGTTTATCCAGACATGCAAGCATGCTTTTCAAAGTCCCACTTAGAGATTGCTCAACCATGAAGGATGTTTGGTGCAACAAGTATCCGAAGGTTGTCAACCATGTCAACTTCTGGCATTCTGGCACTAGTATGGATCAAACACAGCAGGTACCAAGTCCAGCACCATGTGGTACCGAATCTTGCACAGAAGTCTCAAGTGAGTCATCGAATCGAATGGGCCTTGGAACTATTCGTACATTCTATGTGTTTACATGTGTACAAATAACAAACCACTTTATGAAGAAAGAAGTGGGGAGAGAGATAGATGATATAGGCCAGTGTTCAACTTGCAACCTACCTCTCATAATCTACCACTCAAAATAATTTGGTCTTGGCTCTTGTGGGTAACCCGGGCCCCTACTGAACAGATCCAGGGTCTTGCTTGGTACTCAGACCCTCCGAAAAGTGCCGCAAAATGCGATGGGAAAATGGACAATCATCAGCAAACTTGGCTTACAGGCATCTAAATATTGAAGGAGTCAGTTTCCCATTGATCCATCATTTCTCCATCATGGGGATTGTGTTGGTATCAGCAGCGTGAGACAAGCTGCAGGCGACTCGTTGAGCCACTCCATTTCTAAGTGACCAGCAATAGCAGGCCAATCGCGTTTCCTCGAATCCCACTGAGGATTGCGGAACAGTTGGATACACCTCACCATAGTTTTTATATGTTTTTATGTAAAGAAAATAATCAAAACACATAAAACAAATCGGTACAGGTGATAAGTGGAACTGCCTGGCATTTTTTTGGGGAATCACTGCTTACGATTTCTACACAATTGATAAATATTGAACATGTTCATTCTTGTAGATATTGATAGTCTAAACAGGGTACATACCCATTTTTATTGATTTTTAACGATCCATTGGGAATAGAATACACCAGTCACTAATCACTTGTGACCAATTTTTCCGAAGTTCATCCTACTGAGTTTGGCAATCCAACATGGCCCACATGGCCCGGACATACCCTCTGGTTATGTCAAAATAGCTATTGAAAATGGCCATTTATAGTGGATTTTCCCATTAAAAATGGTGATTTTCCATAGTTATGTGACAGTTTACCAGAGGGTAACAATCATAACATGGCACCCTTTAAAAAGCAAACACACAAAACAAGGACTGATCCTATTTGGGAACCTCACCATCTATCCATCTTTTTCACGGAAACCCTGCCTGCCATCACCTGGGGCCAAGGTGGGTGGCCGTGCTTTCTTCGCAGCGCAGAGAAATGCCAATGGCAGCAAATACGGCCACATGGCAGCGCTGGGGAACACCAAGGGCAAACTTTCAGGTCGATTTGGGGACCTTTTGCAATCTCTTGATAGTTACTGGAATTTTCGCTGTTTTCGTCCAAGACATTCTAAAACTTGTTTCTGGAAGAGGGATTTGTGAATCTAAGCAGTGTTGACAGTTCAAATCCTATGGCTGGTCAAGTATTGGTCTCGATGTATAAGGTTTAAAGCCTCATGTCAGATTTTCGGTACCCGTGCCATGGTACCCATGCCATTGCGAACGCCAAGTACAAGCTTTTGAGCCGCGGCAGGCGCAAGCTACACCGTTACATCATCACAAACCCACCTGGAAGGAGGAAAAGACTCTGCGATAGTCACGTAAAATGGGCAAAGGAAACAGTACCAGGAATGGATCGGTGAGCCTCAAAATGCCTTGTCCTTGTCTTGGTCACCAAAAGCAAGTCACAGCTATAAATGTTTAGGTTTCGCACGTTTGGATCTCCAAGCCATCCATGGTCCGTCCACCCGTCCAATGAAACACGATTCCATTGATGGGGATGGACATCCCATGACACCCCAGCTATTTTCTGGTGAATCAGAGACGGATTCCATGGCTTGTAATCCATAGACACATCCATATTCTCGGGTGATTTTCCTATAATATCCCTACAAGAAAAGTCCCACCATTGCTCGTTAAACTTCACATCAATTCCATGTTCCATGTATAGTGAAGACCAAAACCATAGAACAGAAAACGATCGCCAACAAGGCAAAACTCCTGAAGACCCTGCTGATGAATGGAAGAGACCCACGTTGCAAGTCAATTGGATTCACGGTTTTAGTAGGGCCCATGGAACGTCATTTTTTTAACAGGTAAATCATCATGATTATCATGATCATCTATTTCTACGTGCCAAAAAAGTGCCCTGGTTTTCATAGAGTAAACTCTGAATGTCATACCTAGAGGCTGTGAAAAATTCATGAATCCTCCATTTCTAGATGACGTTTCCCATTGAACCCCAAAACATCCTCCATGGATTGTTCGTGGATTTCCCAGCGGATTTTCCAGCCGCTAAAAACCATGGATGGAAAACCATGATTTTCGAAGAGTTCACCATGTCGAAAACCATGATTTCGCCATGAATTATTAACCCTCATTAAGTGTTCATAGTTAATGATGTTAACCATAGTTAATGATGGTTATTAACCATGAATTATTTCGCAAGTGTTAATAGTTTTCCCGCTATTCTCCCCATCTTTTGTTCATAGCTGCGGTGCTTCGGCGGGCAATGGAGGGCCTTCTCCAAGGTACTGCCAGATCCTATGACACGCCCAAGGATGTTGAGCACCTGCGAGTGCTAGGGAAAGGAACTGCATCGCAACTAGCAAAAAAAACAATCCAAAAAAGATAGGATGATGACTTACCTTTCTAAGTTGCGATCGAAGTACTGATGTAAATCCTCACTTTTGGGGGGGTGACTTCAAATCATCACTATTATATCAAAAATCCCACAATTGTGATGGTTTACCATTCTATCGTTTATTATATACTGAAATATGTTTGAAGAAACATGACTGAGTTAAGAAACATATTCGGCAGCGAAACAACTAAATGAACATCAACAATGATGACATAGAACAAACATGAAACTTACCACAAAAACATTTAAACATAATTACTAGATATACATATAAACGTGACATATATATATATATGTATCATAGCTATAACACGTGTGTATTCTGTATATATATATTATATTTTTGTATATATATATATTATATTATTGTATATGTATATATATATTATATACTTATATATAATCTTATATATGTATATATATATATATATATATGCAAGAAACATACGTTGGCCAAAAAAAAACTTATAGAGATGAGTCTTGTTCTACCCCTTATCTTCAGACCCACCTTTCCAGCCCACCACGGCACCGTTTGCCCAGAGAGTTGCTGTTGCAAGTGACCTTCGGCCAACAACATCAGCCTCACGCTGGGCACACCGTGGCGTTAGAGATGGGTGTAGCAATGTGCCAACAAAATTGGATGCTTGCTGTTTACGCAATATAGTATAATAAATCATCAACCTGAAAATGCCTTGGGCACAAAAATCAATGACAATTTCAGGATCCTAAAATGGGGGTACTGCCATATTTTGTGGGTTTATTCCCTTACATAGCCCTTACATAGGCCTTGTATATGGTACGTACCTCCAATAGTAGGTTCCTGGAAAATTGCCATTGATAAAACCAATTATACCAACAAACATAATTTTGATCCACTAGTTACACTAGTTGGATGTGTTTTCTCCAAGAAATAAATCAATGAATTTTCTTAGTTGGTACAGTTCGACCATCCGCAAATAATTTTGAGGCACGACAAAAAACAACAACCACCATATAATGATGTCCTTCAGTGAGGCTCAAGTGTCAACCTCGGAAAAAAACATCACCCAACCAACAACCATTACAAACATGTTGATCACAACGTATGAGAATATGCGGATGGCAAAAACTGCAACCAATAAAGCATATTCTTCAAAACAACAAATACTACTGTAGCTGGCAAGGAAACCCATACTAACCATTATGGCACCCTTCAAACTTACTGATGACGCAGCCTTAGTGTGTTTTCTGCTCATGACAATCAACTCAAACGAGAACCAACAATCAGTTGGGTTTGTTTGAAAAAGGGCATCTATCAAATCTGAAACAAGGCTAAAGGCAAACAACAAACTAAAACACAAAACATAAATTCCTGCAAAACTTTTTTTTCTCAAAAACTCCCAATTTTTTTTCTCCCCCAAACCCCGAATAAAACTTGTATACTTAAAAACCCTAAACACTAAACCCTAAAATAGTATATCATATGTAATTATATCTGATCCCTACTGTGGTCCCAAAATGGGCGCTTGGGGGTCCAAAACCTGCATTTTACAGGGGCTTAGGGTCAAAACCTTTGGTTTACAGTAAGCTCTGGGAAGCTTCTGGGAGGCTTCTGGGCAAGTTTGGGCTTTTGGAGCTAGATATTGGCAGGTGCTTGCGTAAGCTATTGGAAGCTTGTAGGAAACGCTTTCTCGTCTTGGCTTTGTTCAGCTGGGGAAATGAGAAGGTGCATGGAAAAAATGAAGAGGGAATCTTGGGCGGGTGGGATGTACCCAAATATAAATATCATATATCAATATCAATCAATATATATATATATGTCGTATATATATATATATATGTATAAGTATATATATATATATATTTATGTATAAGTATATATATATGTATAAGTATATGTATATATAAATATACACTGCACCGAAAAATATCTCTCAATGAAAATGAATTTTGGACCTTAACCCAAAACCCTTAAACCCTAAAACCTTAAACCCAAAACCCTTAAACCCTAAAATCTTAAGCCCTAAACCCTTAAACCCTAAAGCCTCCCCAAAATCACTGGTTTATCATCTACCCCATTAATACCCCATTAAAATAACATTTTGCGGGAGATGTGATTTTGCTCAGAAGCCTTTTTACTGCTGAAACATCACAATCCAATTTTTGGCCAATCGGACGGTAAACTGCCACACAGCGAGAAAAATGAAACTCCCAAACCTTTGCTACACCTCAAACTTGATCGTTTATGAAATGAACCTGGTGGGTTTTTCCATGCCTTCTGATCATTTAATGCGTAGATATCCATACCACAGTTCAGTCATCTACAAACAACATCAGTCTGAAGGATTTTGAACCATTCGAACCCGGAAAAAAAAAATCCTTCCTGTCCATTAAATTGCCTCATCTCCAATGGAGACGTTTGCCCGTCCCTTCGGGCCAGTCGGCCTTGGCAGCCGAAAGGTCTTGGCCAAGTGTCTCACATTGAAAGCCAGGTCAGGTTCGACGTGGCTGGAGGTAGCATCCTTCGTTTGGTTTCTTCAGATCAAAAAACAGGAATCCGAAGGGCGAGCTGGTCAGGCGTTAACACTAGATTGGCAATTTTCGCTGGGGAAATGGTTGCCTATGTTTTTTCTATTATTTGGAAAGAATAATTTTGGTGAGCACCTGTCCTGTGAAACCCCCACGGCAGGGAAAATTTTAGTTCAAAATCCAAATTATGTCAAATTCATCCGCGGGCAAAACAAAACCACACCGAACCATCGATTTTGATCCTAATAATTATAATGAATCTTTGGCATGACCCATCATTTTGGCCCCTCTGGATGTGTATGCCACCCACATATCCACGTTAACAAAGAACATGATCATAGACCCGTGACTTAGGGGGGTACCCATTTTTCAGAACAAATGCGCAGGCTGGACCAAGAACCATGGGGAACCATGGGGCATCTGACGAGAAACCCATCTATCCGTCATCAAGAAACGCAGCAGGACGGTGAAGGATGCCAAATCCTGGGTTGGAACCGAAAAAAGTGGCGCCACCTGTGGCATGGTCCCCCATACCATATTGAGAGTGCGGGGAGGCGGGTGCGTTCAGGATGTACGCTGAGATTGAGCAAGAAGAATTCGACATTGATGTAAACATTATTTGCTGGCGAGGTTTTCTGCAGTTTGCTTCTTATCCAACTTTGAGGCCTGCTAACCACTGGCATGCAGTTTGAGTCATAGAGGGCGCAATGCCGATGATCATAAACACTCTCAATCAGGGTTATACTATGTTCATGCCGACCCATCTGTTGTAAACATTGTTTCAAACTGGGTTCTATCTGGAATATATGCCGATTTAATTGTTGCAGTCTTTCATTTTTTTGCATTCATTTTTAAATTGCTTTCGTTTCGTATTTTTCAAACTGGCTATTTTTTTTCGCATTCAAAAAGTGCGTTTCCAGAATTAGTTTGATCGGAGCAACACAAGTATACAATCCAACTTTTGAACATGGCACACATGGACCCCAAATTGAATAGATACAATGCAACACTTCGCCTTTTGGTGTGATATTTACTATTGACTGGACGGGATTATAGCATGGGTATGGGTCACACTCGGCACCAAAAATGTCATGACCAAGAATGTCTTGGTCTTGGTGCTCATATCCGGGTTTTGCGGTTGGAGATATCACCATTTTTTTAAGGGAAAACTCACTATAAATGGCAATGTTCAATAGTTATAATTTGATATAGCAGTGTTGATATATCTCTGGGTTTTCACCAGCTAATTCAACAAACTGCTGCAGTCCCCATGTTGCTGAGCACACTAGCCCATGTTTGTTGCTGATTGAATCCCTCTGCTTCTACATTCTGATGTGTCCTCTTCAAATCCACCGTTGTTATTCAAAGAAATCCCCGCTTTTCTACTGAAATTCAAGTGTTTCAAGGTGGCTGTAGATGATATTTAGTAATTACCCTCTGGTTATTTAACATAGCTATGGAACATGACCCATTTATAGATGATGTACCTATTAAAATGGCCATTTTCCATGGCTATGTTAGTCATAACCAGAGGGTAATTTTGATCGATATTTCCAGGTGTCCCACTCTATCTATGACTGGGGGTTGCGTTTTACACCTTGAACTCGTAGAGCGCCAAGCTTCAGCAGCCGCTTCTTTGCTTAGATCAATTTCGCTGAGATTCTGCGCGGGACATCGGAATGACCCTCCGCTACACTAACATACAGTTATGGCCATTTATTAGTTACAACTGGTTATTTCTATGGGATTATACATTCTATAAATGGGGTTTTCTTAGTACTTATAACTGGTATTTCGGGCGATAACTGTAGCTACTCAAATCCCATGGGGTTTCTACAGGTTTTTATGATTGACACATGGGGGATTTTCCATGTCGACTGGGGCTCAATCATCTACTGTACACTTGGGATTTCAAACCAACAGAGTTGAGGAGGAACAACACTTGGAGAACATGGGATATACTGATATACTGGAATGTAATCAACAATATGAGGTGGTTTTGTCGAGACACAGGGTACGAGTATATGAGAACCATAATTTTTGTACTGGGGAAAATGACCAAAGTATTAGATTGAGGGTTATCCAGGTATCCACCATCCTCACCAGCATATCATCCACAATTTCTTTCGAAAACTGAGCAGCATTTTACAACGGAAGAGCTGGCCATTGGCTTGGACTTCCGGTATGGGTCACCAATGTTTAAACCGCGAGGTCACCAATGTCCAGTGAAACAATGGGGTGGATGCCCAGCGAGGTTGAGCCAAACATATCATTTCTACAAAAGTCTGCTGAATATCGGGAGAACATGCCAAAAACATACCCAAGTATATCAATAGTATTGCAAGGTTGAGCCTATTCCATTGCATACATATATATACATATATATACATATATATATATATACACATATATATATACATATATATATATACATATATATATATATACATATATATACATATATATATATATATATACATATGTAACCAGAAATCGAAACATTGATTGATTTAGCTTTTATTCCCAACAAACTTATCTGCAACGAAGGCTCGGATTGCAGCAGTGATTGGCTATCACTAGGGTATTTTTGCTGGGCCAGCAAATTATCCACAAACAACTTCAACATAAATCAGATATTCATATGCGTTTGGTAATGCAACGTGTTTGGACATGCAGTACAGCCCAAGTCATAGATTTCGAAACGTGGGACTGGAAATATGCAGCAAATACAGCAAACACGAGTTGATAGGTGGTTTACCCCATGATTTATAACCTTTCACATTTTTCTACTATCTTTTTGGTGGTGCAGGATTTTCCAACCATCCACAGTATTACAGACTATATCAGTTTGATCAGGTTTATTTGAAACCAGCATTCCATTATCAAACTATTAATGTTATCATACGATTCTGGTTCTATTCTGGTTGGTGGTATACCTACCCCTCTGAAAAATATGATTTCGTCAGTTGGGATGATTATTCCATTTCCAATATATGGAACAAATAAAAGCCATGTTCCAGTCACCACCAACCAGCCATTAATCACCATTAACCAACATCATTAACCATCATTAACCATCATTAATCACATTAATCACCAGTTATTGTAGCTATGGTTCTAAAGTGTTCTAAATAATCACCATATATCACCATTATCTTCCATTCATCTGTGACGTCCTGGAACCATGTTCCTATCTTTTGTTGCCAAGCCATAACTGGGAACCCAAGTACAGTAACCTGGTCGACAGACAAGATCTCTCGGAAATGATGGGAGCGGGCCACCAGAATCCTCGCACCCCAAAAAAATGGGAGGAGATCGAAAAAGAAACCATGTCATTGGATTGGTTTAAGGGAAAAATTACAGGAAAGCCCCATATTTAATAGGGAAATCCATGGTTTCCTGTAGATTTTCCCTTAAACCAATCCAATGACCATGAGATTTTTTGGCAAATGATGCCGCAAATGATGAACACCTGGACTTGGGAGTTTTCTTTTGAAGATTTTTCATCAGATTGGCGATTAGCCCAGTTCCTGGCCACGTACTGAATATGATAGGGATGGAATGGGGGTGAAAAATCTTCAGACAGACCCGGAATTTATGAATGATTTGGTCATCAAATGCGCAGCCTCAAATGGCGAAGCTATACCCTGAGTTCGGATGATGTACCCTTGAAATCTATGAACATACCCTCTGGTAATCTTAACATAGCTATGGAACATTAGGGAACATGGCATGATCAATTTAACAAGTAAATCATCAATAAAAACGGCAATTTTCCGAAACCATTCTTAGTTACCAGAGGGAACTTTGGCTTGTTCGAAATCTGGGAGCTGCCGCTGGCCATCTGAGTCTCAATCTCTTTGTCATTTTGTTGGTTTTGTTGCGCTGGGAAAGGAAGTAGTTGTAAAGTTGTAACGAAAGTAAGTAGGGTTTGGGTCCAAATATATATATATTATATATTATATATATATTATATAATTATATATATATATTATATAATTATATATATATACATCAATCTTGCAATCACTTTTTGAACCACACTTTATCACTGGCGAGTGTGATGAGCTACCAGCTGTGGGTTTGATTTCCTCACCGATAGGCGGGCAGATGCATTGGACGAAACCATATCCTCAATACGTATACATATATATATATAATTAAATATATCCACATTATGTATGTATGTATGTCTGTATGTCTGTATGGCTGTCTGCATGTCTGCATGTCTGCATGTCTGCATGTCTGCATGTCTGCATGTCTGCATGTCTGCATGTCTGCATGTCTGCATGTCTGCATGCATGTCTGCATGCCTGCATGCATGCCTGCATGCATGTCTGCATGCATGTCTGCATGCATGTCTGCATGCATGTCTGCCTGCCTGCCTGTCTGTCTGTCTGTATGTCTGTATGTCTGTATGTCTGTATGTCTGTATGTATGCCTGTCTGCCTGTCTGCCTGTCTGAATGTATGTACTTATGTATGTATGTATATATGTATGTATGTATCTATGTGCGTATGTATGTCTGTATGTCTGTATGTATGTCTGTATGTCTGTATGTCTCTATGTCTGGATGTCTGTACGTCTGTAAGTCTGTACGTCTGTACGTCTGTACGTCTGTACGTCTGTACGTGTGTATGTATGTATGTAGCTATCTATGTATCTATGTATCTATGTATCTATGTATCTATGTATCTATGTATCTATGTATCTATGTATGTATGTATGTATGTATCTATGTGCGTATGTATGTCTGTATGTCTGTATGTATGTCTGTATGTCTGTATGTCTCTATGTCTGGATGTCTGTACGTCTGTAAGTCTGTACGTCTGTACGTCTGTACGTCTGTACGTCTGTACGTCTGTACGTCTGTACGTCTGTACGTGTGTATGTATGTATGTAGCTATCTATGTATCTATGTATCTATGTATCTATGTATGTATGTATGTATGTATGTGCGTATGTATGTCTGTATGTCTGTATGTATGTCTGTATGTCTGTATGTCTCTATGTCTGGATGTCTGTACGTCTGTAAGTCTGTACGTCTGTACGTCTGTACGTCTGTACGTGTGTACGTGTGTATGTATGTATGTAGCTATCTATGTATCTATGTATCTATGTATCTATGTATCTATGTATCTATGTATGTATGTATGTATGTATGTATCTATGTGCGTATGTATGTCTGTATGTATGTCTGTATGTCTGTATGTCTGGATGTCTGTACGTCTGTACGTCTGTAAGTCTGTACGTCTGTACGTCTGTACGTCTGTACGTCTGTACGTCTGTACGTCTGTACGTGTGTATGTATGTATGTAGCTATCTATGTATCTATGTATCTATGTATCTATGTATCTATGTATCTATGTATGTATGTATGTATGTATGTATGTATATGTAAGTATGTATGTAATGTTTATGTATGTATGTATGTAATGTATGTATGTGTTGTACCCCCATTGTGGATGGGGTCATTGTGTGGGTCCTATTTACACCGAACTTCTGGTAGGACCACTTCAAAGTGACCACTTCGTTGGGCGTGACCACTTCAGATGTGAGTTGATGGAAACGGACATGGCGTGGCCTTCATTTTCTAACCTGGGGTCTTCAGCCATTCTGCCTTGGAGTATGGCCAGCCTCGGAGTATGGGTATAGCCATTCTGGTAGACATTTCAAACATCATCTTCCTGTTGGAATCTGTGCTTTTTCTTGGTTGAGATCCATGGTACCATGTTGAATTTTGCGGGTCTTCACGGCCAGAGCTCTTCGAAAGTCCTTCGATCGATTTGCAATCGCTTGTTGAATGGCAACCGAAAAACAACGGTACTCACCTGAGAAATTTGGCAGGACGGAGATGGGCCTATGCATAACACTACTATACTATAATATGTACATATATATATAATTAAATGTTTAAATGTGAATATTATTATTTATTTACATGTATATATATAACATAATCACACATGTGTATGTAAAATATATAATATACATGCTATATGTATTTATGTAACATATATATATCATTGGATCGTGGATGATGTGATGTGATGGACCATAAGCCATACACTCATAGACTTGCAAATTGGCTTTGATATGTAATACCAACCATGTGTGGATCAAAGTAGAATAGGAACTGGCAAAATCCAGTATTGGCAATTCCTATTTGCTGGGTCTTGGTCAAAACCTATGATGCCGTGATACCAATGTTTCTGGGGATGAACGTGGGTCTCGGGGTCTTGGTCAAAAGCTACTTTATATCTTTTGGGGGGTTGAACATTGATTTAATTCTATTTGCAAGCCAATAAAAGATTTACTGTACCAGTGCACCAGGGTTTTGACCCACAGCAATGCTTGATGATTGTAATGAGGGTTACGGTACGTACTTCTGACAGGGACCATGAAGAAAGCCGATGTTTTCAGCAGTGCCATGCACAAAAGTAGTACCATCTGGTAATTTAACATAGCCATGGAAAATGACCATTTATAGTGGATTTTCCCATTAAGAATAGTGATTTTCCATAGTAGTTATGTTAGTTTACCAGAGGGTATCTGCTTTTTTGTTCGACCAACCGCGCCCAATATCTTGGCACGGTGCGTTCTCTTGCTGGGATGTTGCAAACCTACTTGCGTTCACAACTGGTGTCCACACTCAATCATTCCAACTGTCCAGCTATCAAAACGCCCCGCAATGTCCAGCTATCTTTGGATCTACCATCTGGTTATTAAACATAGCCATGGAAAATCACAATTTTTAATAGGTGAACCATCTATAAATGGGCCATTTCCCATGGCTATGTTAAATAGCCAGAGGGTAAGATGATGATCTCACCATTTTTGTTGGTCAAATCCTGGTTTCTGTTGGTTGACATATCGTCCCTGACTTATCCAAACTGCGTCGCGTCCCGGGAAAGGCGTCCGGGTCACCGCTTCAGCCAAATCAATGCCACAGAACTGCCGATAGGTCGGTTGCACCTGGAAACGTTGGAGCGTGGGTGAAGATATGCGGTTTAACCGGTTTAACCAACAGAAATGGAGATAGCCTCTGGTAAAATCTGGTAAACTGATATAGCATGATATAGCTTACTGGAAGATCACCATTTTTGGGTAAATCAATATTGAATTTCACCATTTTCAATAGCTTTGTGAAATTACCAGAAGGTATTATGGAGAACACTTTGCCAAAGAGGGCGTTTTAGTTTCAACCGCTAGGTTAGATTATCAAAGGGTGTTTTTTTTCCTGCAAATAATTGGGTTCCCAGCTCTGCTAAAGTTTAAGAATACATTACCATTGTCCCCAACAGAACTACAGGCACCCGTGGAAGTCAGGACTAAACACCGCGGGGTTGGTACAACTGCATGGAACGCACCGGTTACGTCGAAGTCAGAAAAGGCGGGACCTGGATCAGAAATCCTATTGGTAACGCTTCAACGCTGGGGCCAAATATCTACATCAAAATGTTACTGGAGATGTTAGTTCCTACTGGAACGCTAATGGAATATTTCTGCTAATTCTATGTCTTCATAGGCTTTTCCTGCATGGAACGCTAATGGAATAATTCTGCTAATTCTATGTCTTCATAGGCTTTCCTGCATGGAATCGCTACTACTGGATATCTAAATCTGCACCACACTTCCCAGAATCTGCTACAGGATCCTTTTCACTTCTTCACATATCGCAAAGCACGATTGTATTTCTCAGCAGACAGCCACTTCTCTTTTACTGATGCTTCAGACCTGCCCAAACCACCTGAGCAAATCCCCATGTGAACTCCGTTTCTCAAGACTACTCCTGCCAGAATCTCATGCGCAGTGTGTTTTAATTCATACTGGAACTCCGGATTCACAGGTCAGGTTTGGACAGAAGGGTTGCATATCAAAAACTGTGGTGGACAAGGGTGCATTTATACGAGGTCCGATACGAGGTCTATACGAGATCAATACGAGGTCAGCCTATATGGTTTGTCCCGGAGCTCGCCATGAGCTTCTGAAGCGAGATTGCTCCACTTGAGCTGGCAACAGCAGCGGACGAGGAAGCAGCAGCAGCAGGAGGAAGCAGCAGCAGGAGCAGGAGGAAGCAGCAGCAAGCAGCAGCTTGCAGCAGCCAGCAGCAGCCACAAGCAGCAACCAGCATGTGCCCCCTTGAAAGAATGACCAAATATAAGTATAAGTTTGAAAAATCATGGCAGAAGTGGCTGTCAAGACAGCATCTATATATATACCATAGTTTCCATTGGTATACCCATGGAAGTTGCTGCAAGATTTAAACGTGCCACTTTCAAGCTGTCATGCAAAACCCAAGCTAAACGCAAAAAGTACCGACTTACCCCAATTGCTTTCCCGCATGGAAATGAACCGTTCAATGGCAAACAGAACCGATTTCCACACCCACCTGTAGAATTCTGAGGGAATGGCTGGAAACCGCCATATTGGGGCCATGGTCAAAACTGGAGGTGTCATATGGTCATGCTTTCCGCAATGGGAATCCAAACATCATCGGTCTATATAAATCCCTATCCTGTATACTGGTATATAACTCCCTATCCTGTACATATGCAAGAATCGATCAAATTATATTTAGAAATTAACATATCCAGATTGTATAGATTGATGATCCTCCCCTTATTCGGGTATATAAACCAACAGAATCTCACTTTTTACCACATATAACACATGGGAATTTCCGAAAATTACGAATCCCAAAGTCACCGTGGCTTTCAATACCAAGTCATGGTCATGACTTGGATAATGCAAGGGGGTAAACTCCATACCAATCAACCACAGTTATGAGAAAAAAATGGCCCAAAATACCAGCCATAAGTCAGTAAGTCGCCTGAAAATGGCATGAGAACCCCATGGTGAATCGTTTCTAAATGATGACCCACCGTTAATGGGGTACCCCCATGACATATTGGGAACTTATGGCCTACAACAACCTTCCCCAGGTTAGCACAGGGTCGACCTCATCACCCTCCAGGGAAGCCACAAAGAGTTGTAGGGCCTGGTGCGGACTGTGGCTTGATGTCTGGATATTCGATAACACCAAAACATATGTGTTTAGTGATGCTTGATGAAATCCTATGTTTGTGTTGATGTTTGGTATTGAGGATTTGTTTGACACACTAAATCTCCTATACTATGAAATTCTGGGATGGGATTTAAGATCAACACTAAATTTTATGTACTGTGAGATATGGATGGTTTTTGACTACCAAAGGATTCAACACGTTTAACTCCTTTGGTATTCAAACACAACAAAGTCAACATTTCAAAAACGAAGATGAACATTTCAAAAACCAAGCACACACCCTCTGTGCATGATGAACATGACATAACATGAGTATGACCATGCATGTTTGATTGCAGGAATCCCTCAAGCCACTGTGTTTTTCGTGTTGTTTTTGGTCGCGCCTGGCCCTGATTTTGCACCACGTACACCTCAAGATAGGCCAAGATATCGGCTGGGGATGGAACATAAAAAAGGGGTTTCCTAAATTTGGGTACCCTAAAATGGATGGTTGGGGGATGAAATTAGGTAACCCGAAAATTTCAGGAAACCCCCATACTATGAACAATAAATGCAAACAGTCATCTTAAGGTTCTACAATTTTTGTTGACTCAATCTCTCAACTGATGGTTGCATCCTCACGTTTGTTGATAGAAAACATACCAACACCAATGCAGTAATCTTAAAGGTTCTTGGATCACAAAAACTAAGGTGCGATGCCACATGAACATTTAATGGAATTTAATGGATCAGTCTCTGTGCGAATCTTTGGGATTGATAGATGCGTCGTTCAAGACACGGAGTGAATGCAATACAATTCAAAACTCTACATGTGGTGTTTGTCCTTTGGGGAATCATTATGGCCAGACTGTTCATTTCCAACCATTTAACAAAAAAATCCTCAGGTCAAAATACTATGTCTATAATTATTCCACATACCGTATATATACCCTCTGGCAATCAAACGTGGCAATGGACAATTCACCATTTATTGACTTTTTTCCATTAATTAAACCCTCCGTTTCTAGGGGTCTTCCATTGCAACGTGTGATGGAGGGCTGAATGTGTTTCCCTGGGTTGTTCTTGGCATATTGGTGGCATCCAGTCGCCTCTTCGATGCTAAACCGTGAATTTGACTGAAAGTGAGGTGCCCAAAAGTCTAGAGGTTATCATGTGTTTCCTATCAACATTCTTATGTAGGGAATGGACCCCATGTTCAAACACAACCCAACAAAAATAACATGAGTCTCCTGAAACCTGTTCGGCCTCAGTTTCGGAGGCGCAGTATGTCAGGAGGTGTTGGTGGTCGATCCCCTCGAATATCACCTGGGTCCCAACACAGCTCTCAATGAAGGGAGATCTGTGTGAGCCTTTGGCATTGTGGGTGACTGAAGCCTTACGACTGGCAACATTTACACAGTCTGCTCTCCTTTCGGAATCAAAAAGTAAACCGCCTGGCTATAGCAAGGGGGCATGATAGAAACAGAAGGTACGCTGCCTGCTGCCTTGTTCCCTGAATCGCTGCCAGTTCTGCAAAAACATGGATCGATGACATGGCATCAAGCTGTACTTGAAGCTGTAGTACTAGCAAACTCAGCAACATCAGCAGTAGTGGCGTAGTCTAGTGACTCCACTAGCAGTCACTAGCAGTAGAAGCAGCTGCAGCAGTAGTGGTGCGAGGAGGAGTGGTACTGTGGATGGAAGAAATCCTGCACCAGTTGATAGGTGGTTTATCCATGTTTATGCCTACGGGTTGAAAACCGAACCAGCGTTTTTCATGTTTCTATGTCTTTCATGGGGTTAACAGGGTGGGGTGGGGTGGGGTAATAACGTTCATTTGCACTGCCTGACATACATGATGCTACGCTGCTGTACGTCTTTTTGCACTTCCTCACATACATGATGCTACGCTGCTGTACGTCGTCTTGCACTTCCTCACATATATGATGCTACGCTAGTGTACGTCGTCTTGCACTTCTTCACATACATGATGCAACGCTACTGTATGTCGTCTTGCACTTCCTCACATATATGATGCTACGTTAGTCTACGTTAGTCTTGCTCAATGGCAAGATTTGGACGCATGTTCGCGCTTGGCAGTGGAGATCGGAAAACAGTTACCACAAAAACCTCTCCAAGCTCACTGCAGAAATTGTGAAGAACACTTAGCGCAGAAAAAAAGATAGTGCCGCTGAGGTTTTTTACATATCCAGTGAAAAGTACGCGCGTACTTTTTAAGGAAATTGAACTTTGAGAGAGATGCAAAACCACTGTGATTTGTGGTATAAAATCAATGACGAACACTGCAAACGTTGAAAACGCGGGTTCGATAATAGGCTTTCAACCATGCTTTTGGTGATGCAGGATTATGCTGGCCCATCCACAGTAGTGGTACTGGTACTTCTAGTAGTAGCAATGGCACAGTGGGCAATGGCAGCATGTTGAGTCCTTCTCCTCCGTGAGTGCAGAAACCTGCAATCTTCCTACATATGGCAGTGTGTCAAAACCTTGTACCCCTGGTGAACATCAAAATAACTGGTAAATGGATGTTCGTCCCACTAAAAATGGTATGTATAGGTATTGATCCATACCCATATCTAGCTACTATACCTACTAAACTACCTATGCCTTTCACATAGTAACTACTTTCCACGACCTTCAAGGTGCTAGCTACTACCAGTAGCTATCTACTACAATTCCGTTTCCGTTGTGCTGGGCCCCGGTGCAGTTTTGACTTCCAAGGTTTTCAGATCCACGCAACACCTGGGCCCCAAGGTGTGACAGGGCGTGATTCATAACTTAAGTGACATGGTATAGCATCGTATGTATATATAATATAATAGTATGTATTATATAGTCTTAATATGTATATATATATGTATATGTGATATAGATAATATGATATAGATAATATGATATAGATAATATGATATATAGATATGATATAGACATATCGTATATGATATATAAGATAAGATATAGACATATGATATATATATATATGTGATATAGATATGTATATGGTATAGATATTTGATATAGATATTTGATATAGATATATGATATATATATATATATTTAGATATATCATATGTGGACACAAACTATAAACATCTATAAACCTGTTTTTGTATGTGCATTTAGTCAAATGTACTTATAGACTCTAAATCCGTAGGATGTCGAAACGGGGGATACCAACTTCAGGAATCAGCCGTTTCTTCCATGGGGCCCAAACTGTTGGACGCGTGGAGACCCAATGCGCAAAATTCATATAACAGCCCCAGGTACAAGTTTGGCATCAGCAAAAATTGCTGAACATGTTTGTAAGATTTTGTAAGTGCACTATAGCCTGATATATTCGAGGTTTAAAAACGGTGCTTCTTTTGTCCGGCACAAGTTGCATCGATTTATGTGGTTTCAAGAATGAATAAGGTAAATACCACATAAGTTCCATGGGTCGGTTTCGGTTTAGTATCGACCTTTAGTTGCATTGATGTGCTTCAAAGTCTTAAGGTCGATACTAAACCGACCCACAAATGGCGAACATCAAAATGTCCGTGTTTTCTCATGACGTTTGTCGACAATCATCCGAAACCACTTTGATCAAAGGACCCGTCCCATTGGTAAATGCGGCTTTGCCTACTATGGACATTTTCAAATAACAGGTGGTAGAACCCCTATAATAACTAACAGCACATGCTTCATCGGAGCGTGTGAGTCTACTGAACCATTTCATCATTCGTTTGAAACCATGAAAATCACATTGGTCCAACAAAATTCATTTGGGATCACAATTATTGACCTATTGACCCCAACGTGGAACTGGATACTCAATTTTTTGATCACTTCCATGCCACGTCGCCAGGGAAATCTCTTGGGACTCCATGCTGACGCCACTGGTAGACGGCAGGCCCCTCGGTCCGCATGAACAAATGCCTGATCAATCCATGACGGTCCAACATCTGCCAGCCAGGGAAAAAATGGGGAACACATACCATGTTTTAAGGTTGGTTTAAGGGAAAATCTACAGTCTACAGGAAACCATGGTTTTTACCATCAAATATAGGGCTTTCCTGTAAATTTTCCCATCATCCAATTCTATGAATTTAATGCCGGAAACATGTAAAACCGGCATTTTTTCTCCTTCAATCGAGGTAAAAAAAAAAAACGGTCAGTCCAATTGAACCCCAGGATTCCGCCTCCCCAATAACAAACAAGAACAAAATACGTACCAACCAAGATCAAATAAGTATAGCTGGTGCATTTCTGCAACCCAGACAAGTTTTGTTAACATGACATTGCTGGGGTCCTGGGGTCCACGTACGTCACGTACGTTGCTCGTATCTGTTTCAGCCGCTAACGCCGCCGTACGTTTTTAGCCGAGGATTTGATGGTCCCTTTGAACGGTGGATTAGACATGTACCATCGCAACATATCGCAACATGTTCATTTTTTGCTGAGTGTTTACAGGACCTATGGCATAAAAATGCTTGGAATGATGTAGTAATATATTTTATATAATTATATATATATAGAGAGAGAGATAGATTTATGTATACATATATCCCAATTCGTCTTAAAGATCCTGTAGAGGTCCCATCATCATATCCCATGATATTCCATTTCCACTGGTTTATCTCATGACATACCGATAAAATGATTGGTTTTCTCCCAACATCTTCACGGGTCTCCGCCCGGGTGCGCCGGTGTCGGGTCTCCGCCTATTGCTGACCATGGGCCGTTTCAGGTGCCAGAAGCGAGCCTGAAAAGTGCCATTTCTTGAAGGATGATCCCATCCACCAGTTATCAGTCATTTACCCTCTGGTAAACTAACAGTTTGCGAACTTGAAAATGGCCCAGTTGAAATACTTGATTTACCCATTAGAAATGGTGATTTTGCATAGTTTTTTCTATGTTTACCAGAGGGCATATGTGGGGATAAGCCATGGTTACTAAGTGAGATGATCCAAATATCCCCATCTTTTGGTAGCATGATAGGTCATCCCATGTTTACTTGGGATTCTTTTCCTGGCCATTGCTGTCCTATGAATGGCGTTTTTTTTTTCCATCCCCCCAAAATATGAAAATTTCAGGTATATGACTCAACTTTTGACGATGGCACAATATTGGCTCCAAAACGAACAAATCCAATACACAACTATAGGGTTTATAGGTTGATCTTTATATCTTGGGGGGAAGGGATTACTTGGAAAACGCCTGAAGAACATGAAACATCATGAAACCACAAAAATCCAGGCCGCTGGGAGGGGTTCAGCATGATTTACGGTACCCCGAAAAAATACAAACATTAAGGGTCTAATTGACAACAATGATGATCACAAGCGGTTTACGCAACAAAAACAATCAATTCTCCAACACTGATGAGAATCTAAGATGACTTACCTGCCAAACATGGGAATTTCTACATGATTTCATCAGTATGAGGTTTCACATGGTTTTACCAACAGAAATGGAACCGTCAAACAATTCCGCCTGGACAAAACATGACGAAACCACATGACATACCCCATGGGGTATTTTTGAATACTCCTACCACCCAGTTCATAAAGAGAAGGATTGGTTGTTCGTATGCTTGTGTATGAGTCACGTTACCCAGTAGAAACTAACCTGGCTGGTGGTTTCAACCCCCCTGAAAAATATGAAAGTCAGATTGGATCATCATCCCAACTATTGGGGAACATAAAAGCATATAAAAGCCATGTTCCAAACCATCAACCAGTAACATAGTTCTGGACATCGGTTGTTTCCCGTTCGGTGCAACCACGGTACCAGAGGACCGACTCCATCTGTGGTGCCCCAGTGCTGCAAATCACCTGAGACTCCCTTCACCCCTACTATACTACCCTATATGCACTTTACAGAACTAAATGAAACAAGATATGCAAACAAAAAACATGTAGCAGGCACAGCATGATCAAAAGGAAACATAGAAACATATACAAACACAACTAAGACTTTGAGTACAAACAAGTACAAATTGTTACAAACTATCAAAAACATTGAAAAAAACTAAAATTCGTGAAACAATGAGGTCCATAGTGCGATCCACTCTCTAAAACAATGCAAATGGTTTATGGATAGTGGTGATTTATGGGAGTTGATGATAATTTAACAACGACCCTCTGGTAATTTAACAGTTTGCTATGGAACATCACCCTTTTTCATGGGTAAATCATCCACAAAACGCAGTTGGATATTCCTATATGTGTCAATGGAGCGCTTCAGGGCATCTTTTCGCATGCCATCACCAATTCATCATTCGAATGTACTAAAAAAAAATAACTTAATTATATAGTATAACTTAATGGATACTTCACAATTATCATCAATTATCATCAACTATCATCAACTATCATCAATTATCATCAATTATCATCAAATATCATCAACTATCATCAACTATCATCAACTATCATCAACTATCATCAACTATCATCAATTATCATCAATTATCATCAACTATCATCAAATATCATCAACTATCATCAATTATCATCAATTATCATCAACTATCATCAATTATCATCAATTATCATCAACTATCATCAATTATCATCAATTATCATCAATTATCATCAATTATCATCAACTAGCATCAATTATCATCAACTATCATCAATTATCATCAATTATCATCAACTATCATCAATTATCATCAATTATCATCAACTATCATCAAATATCATCAATTATCATCAAATATCATCAATTATCATCAAATAGCATCAATTATCATCAATTATCATCAACTATCATCAATTATCATCAACTATCATCAACTATCATCAATTATCATCAATTATCATCAATTATCATCAATTATCATCAATTATCATCAACTATCATCAACTATCATCAATTATCAACAATTATCATCAATTATCATCAATTATCATCAACTATCATCAATTATCATCAACTATCATCAATTATCATCAACTATCATCAATTATCATCAACTATCATCAATTATCATCAATTATCATCAACTATCATCAATTATCATCAATTATCATCAACTATCATCAATTATCATCAATTATCACCAATTATCATCAATTATCATCAAATATCATCAATGATCATCAATTATCATCAATTATCCATTAATTATCATCAGTTATCATCAACTATCATCAATTATCATCAACTATCATCAATTATCATCAACTATCATCAATTATCATCAACTATCATCAATTATCATCAACTATCATCAATTATCATCAATTATCATCAACTATCATCAATTATCATCAATTATCATCAATTATCATCAACTATCATCAATTATCATCAATTATCATCAATTATCATCATTTATCATCAATTATCATCAATTATCATCAATTATCATCAATTATCATCAATTATCATCAATTATCATCAATTATCATCAACTATCATCAATTAGCAATCATCATTTAGCATCAACTATCATCAATTATCATCAATTATCATCAGTTAGCATCAATTAGCATCAATTATCATCAATTATCATCAATTATCATCAATTATCATCAATTATCATCTATTATCATCTATTATCATCACCTATCATCAACTATCATCAATTATCATCAACTATCATCAATTATCATCAACTATCATCAATTATCATCAATTATCATCAACTATCACCAACTATCACCAACTATCATCAATTATCATCAATTATCATCAATTATCATCAATTATCATCAATTATCACCAATTATCAATTATCATCAATTATCACCAATTATCACCAATTATCATCAATTATCACCAATTATCACCAATTATCACCAATTATCATCAATTATCACCAATTATCATCATTTATCACCAATTATCACCAATTATCACCAATTATCACCAATTATCACCAATTATCATCAATTATGACCAATTATCACCAATTATCACCAATTATCACCAATTATCACCAATTATCACCAATTATCATCATTTATCACCAATTATCACCAATTATCACCAATTATCACCAATTATCACCAATTATCATCAATAATCACCAAAAATCACCAATTATCACCAATTATCATCAATTATCACCAATTATCACCAATTATCACCAATATCACCAATTATCACCAATTATCACCAATTATAATCAATTATCACCAATTATCACCAATTATCACCAATTATCACCAATTATCATCAATTATCAACAATTATCACCAATTATCACCAATTATCATCAATTATCACCAATTATCACCAATTATCACCAATTATCACCAATTATCATCAATTATCACCAATTATCACCAATTATCACCAATTATCACCAATTATCACCAATTATCATCAATTATCACCAATTATCACCAATTATCACCAATTATCATCAATTATCATCAATTATCATCAATTATCATCAATTAGCATCATTTATCATCAATTATCACCAATTATCACCAATTATCATCAATTATCATCAATTATCATCAATTATCATCAATTATCATCAATTATCCATTAATTATCATCAATTATCATCAGTTATCATCAAATTATCATCAATTAGCATCAATTAGCATCATTTATCATCAAATTATCACCAATTATCACCGCATCATTTATCATCAAATTATCACCAATTATCACCGATTATCATCAATTATCATCAATTATCATCAATTATCATCAATTATCCATTAATTATCATCAATTATCATCAGTTATCATCAAATTATCATCAATTAGCATCAATTAGCATCATTTATCATCAAATTATCACCAATTATCACCAATTATCATCAATTATCATCAAATATCATCAATGATCATCAATTATCATCAATTATCCATTAATTATCATCAATTATCATCAACTATCATCAAATTATCATCAATTAGCATCAATTAGCATCATTTATCATCAAATTATCACCAATTATCACCAATTATCATCAATTATCATCAATTATCATCAATTATCATCAATTATCATCAATTATCCATTAATTACCATCAATTATCATCAATTATCATCAATTATCATCAATTATCCATTAATTACCATCAATTATCATCAATTATCATCAATTATCATCAATTATCATCAATTATCATCAATTATCCATTAATTATCATCAATTATCATCAGTTATCATCAAATTATCATCAATTAGCATCAATTAGCATCATTTATCATCAAATTATCACCAATTATCATCAATTAGCATCATTTATCATCAAATGTTCACCAATTATCACCAATTATCATCAGTTATCATCAAATTATCATCAGTTATCATCAAATTATCATCAGTTATCATCAATTATCACCAACTATCATCAATTATCATCAATTATCATCAACTATCATCAATTATCACCAATTATCATCAATTATCATCAGTTATCATCAAATTATCATCAATTAGCATCAATTAGCATCATTTATCATCAAATTATCACCAATTATCATCAATTATCCATGAAGTTATTACTGGATTATCCATTAATTAACCCCATCTCTTCGCACGAAAAAACTGGGTGTTTTCCTGCGAGCAAATGTCCGAGCCACCGGCGATCACCGAGGTCTCAGGAAAACAGACAGGGTTGGAGGCGGGAAAAACCCATGTTGAATATATGTATATGTCTATATAATTTTATATATATGGTGATTAATGGTGATTTAATGATGGTTAATGGTGATTAATGGTGATTTAATTTTAATGATGGTTAATGATGATTAATGATAGTACTCTGGTTGGTGGTAAACCTACGCCTCTGAAAAATGATGGAGTTCGTCACTTGGGATGATGACATTCCCAACTGGATGGGAAAATAAAAGCCATGTTCCAAACCACCAACCAGATATATATTATACATGTATTTGTACTCAATTGTATTGGAATAGGTCAATATCTTGTATGTATCTGTCAATTTGCACAGAATTATACTGAGTTGTATAGGTACTTGTTTTAATGGATGAATGTGTGAATGTAACCACCCTTGTATATACATGTTACTGTAACATGTATATAAATATGTAGAGGCGTGTAGTACATGCATAAGACCCAATGCGTGAAAATAATACTATATTAATTTAATGTACATGTGTATCTGATCATAAGGATCTAGAGAACAAACAACACGCATCACTAAAACTCGTTCGAAGTTGTGGCTTGCCTTGGAGTTGAATGGGATTTTGGGGCCCTAGTATGATCTAGTATGCCTCAAACATCTCTGTTAGTAGGACATCATTATAGGGGATCCGTCTGGTGGCTAAGCTACGCTTGGGTACCTAACCAAACTGTCAGTCATTTTCAGCATCAAAATAAACTCTTGGTGGTTTGAACCCATCCCAACAATCTGCTCGTCATCTCAACCAATCCCTTTTGTATGGTTCAAACAAAAAAAAACAGAAACTCCGGCCAGCAACATATGTGACAATCTGCATTTACAGCGTGCAGCATCAAGCTATTCAACTTTTGGAGGATCAAAAAGGTGTTCCATGGTGTTCCCGGACATTTTCCCTCCAATCAATACTGGACATGATAGATGATGGAATGGAGTTGCCAAATCCAACTCAGCCATACCTGGATGGTTGAAAACAAACTCGACATATGGATGTACCCAAGAACCACATGGGGAAAAGAACACCTGGAAATATGGCGATATATGAACGGACATTCACAAATGCGTAAAAAAACGGGACGGTACCAACAGTTTTCATGGCACATATTCTTTCCAACTGCTCCTCGATTTGGTCGAGTGATTGAAAGGAACAAATACTTGAAAACCCGACATCATTCGGCTGCGAACAGCACAGTTTCCTGTCTGCGGGTTTGCCCAGAAACTTATGACTTATGATACCAAACAATGCCAATGATAGCTACTACATTGCTACATCATAAATCATAACGATAAAACCACTGACTGGTTTAGGGCTACAAAATGAACAAAGCCATCGTTTTCTTGTCGTCGCAAACCATTGGAGATTGACCAGACATTTCTGCTTGGTGGTTGACCTACGCCTCTGAAAAATGATGGAGTTCGTCACTTGGGATGATGACATTCCCAATACCCTCTGGTAAACTAACATAACTATGGAAAATCACCATTTATAGTGGATTTTCCCATAAACAAATGGTGATTTTCCATAGTTATGTGACAGTTTACCAGATGGTATATGGAACAAATAATCCAGCCATGTTCCAGTCACCACCGTCCCCATTTATTTCAGTCTCCAGGTGTCCAGGTGCCTCGTAGCTTTCAAAGGACAACATGTACACCCCGTAGCCCTCGGTATCATAGAGCCCAAAGCCTCGTCCGTTTCCACTGGGAAAATCTGGGAAAAAACATGGAAAAACTCATCAAAAGTTGATTTTCCCTTAAAAATCCAATGAGACAAACATAAGTTTGTCCCTATTTTTTTGAGGGTTCTATTGGCCGCCTACTCAGCTAGTGACTGTTAGTTGGGAACAAGGTATGCAAATCGATACAATGAATACTTCTAAAGTGAGCTCTTCCAAATGCAGTCTGCACTCGATCTCAAAAGGATTTCCTGTATAACCGTCGTCGAGGATTCATGAATGACAATTTATCTAGTCTATAAATCTCTTATAATATATTATTATTATTATTATTTATTGTTATTATTATTACTATTATTATTACTATTATTATTTATAATATATATATGTATATATATATATTTATTATTATTTATTTATAGGTATTTATAGGTATTGCTGGATTTTGTGAACTGTAAACTCCACACGATCTCAGAATAAGATCTCCAAGATCTGTAGATCAGATTCCGTGGCCCCAACGATTGGCTGGAGCGTCAACGTCCAACACAAGACCTTGGGCGAAGAAAATCGGCAACCTCTGGTGAATTGCATGGCATTGATGAGGATTTACCCTCTGGTTATTCTGGTTATGACTAACAGTTCGCCATGGTATAGATGGCGCCTAGCAATAGATGGTTTACCTATTAAACATGGTGATTTTCTATGGCTGTTAAATCACCAGATGGTAAGCAGCAATAGTGGTAAGGAAACAAGCAACAATGGTGAATTGATGAGGAATATAACTTACTGTGCATGTCGAGCAACCACGTGAAATATCAATGTATCACAGAGGATGACTTCAAGATTCATGGTGATAGAATTACGCACATTTCTCCTATTTTTCTGGACTTTTCTGTATGATGTTGCCAGGTACCCATGGGTACCCATGCTACAATTTCTCTAAATCCTCCAAGCGAAAATAGGATCCATGGATAGAAACTGCGTGATATCAAATGTATGGACATTTGTTACTTGCTTGATCCATGTGCTGTATATTTCAATAATGATTTTCCTCAACTAACAGCGCGACCCTGCAAAACAGAGGATTGGAAGTCTACCGTCCTCACAAAACCGTGTCTATGTTGAATTTGAATGTTAGTTGGAATAATACTATATGGGTTTGTCTGAAAATATGGTACCTGGTACCTCTAAATCCATTCCAGATCATCATTTTCCCTATTGAATGGACATTTTATGGGTATACCTTAAGGTATACCACATTTTAAGACAGACATGGATTCTGCCTGAAAACAGCGCCAATCTTGATGACTTGGGGCACCTATGAGGGCGAAACAACATCCACCTTCGATGAAGGTGTGATTTTCTTCCAAGGAATGAGGATATGACCATTTCGCATGGGGCTAAATCCCAGAATCTAGGGATGAATGGGGTGAACTAACTACATAGCTGTGACTCTAAGTTATCCTGAGCTGCCCCGGCGCGGATTTTTTTCCTTGATAATCTGCGGTAAACTATGCGGAACTCGACAAATAGTTTGGACATGTTTGGAACTTGAACTGGTTGGTGGCTTTTATCGGGACACCTTGCAGTCATCAAAACAACAGCTCTCTGAAACCACCAGCCAGTCTAATCATCAAACAGATTCTCCAACCCGCAGAGTCGAGACCTTGCTCATACTTCATCCAGGTTGGTTCAAAATTCTGAAACTTTCGCTGGAAACACAGCCTGTTCATGAATCATAAACAGTTTCACCATTAGACAAAAAACCACGGACCAATATGGAGGATTGCACAAAAAGTGTGCAATAAGATCAATAAGTATTGATAAGTCACTGCTTTCGTTTTTACTTCGTTGATAGACTTCAACATCTCAAACATACCCTCAATCCTTGGGGCATCCATCGCAAACGCTTTACCCCTCTCAGCTATCCCTCAAGATGCCGCTGGTCCAGCCAGACAAGGTTTGTGCCACTTGCCCTCCGATGGCAGAGACCTTCTTGCTCTTCACAAAGTATTCCTCAGCTAGGCCCCTGGGCCCTGGGTTGGTCAGGATTTTCAGTGAATTTAAGGATAGTCTACAATATTGAATCTTGAATTCTCGTATCACTACAGTGAATGGTCAGGATTTTCTTCAGTGATATGAGATTCCCAGTTCAAACATCGCCAGGTAACCCAAGTCCGCTAGTCCTGGTCCAGCACCGCCCCGGTTGCGCGGCCCAGCTGGCAGCTATCCCAAAGAACCGTATTTTTGACCCGGGTATATTCTTGGGGCCCAAATTTGGAGACACTTCTGTACATGACATCTCCGCCATGAAGACATCATTCAAGTTTTGCAGAGATCAGTACCAAAAAGTATGAGAACCCCTGCGCCGAACGACAATAAATCTAGCTTTTGCCGACCCTGCAAGAGACACCGGAACAAACACGAGAACAACAACCATATATAGCTACAACACAGGAGCATAGATTGACAGTAAAGCAACCCGGAAAAAATCAAAAAAAAACAGACAAGTAAGATCTTGCCAACATGACGCGGTAGATGAGGGTTCTATCTTTTTGTGTCCTTTTGCTGGCTACATCTGCTGTACACTGTACCTTTTAAGAGGTAACCACTCAACTCAATCATGTTCACATATGTTCCATACGAGCATCGTTCACCAAATGGCTGAGCCCTAGGACAATGGCCAAATAGAAGGGGAAAAAACTGTGTGGCATCGGCTTGCCCCACAACTTCTTGGCGATGATCTGCGGCGGCTGAGTTTTCTGGTGGGGATGTGTCTCCCAGCTTTCATCAGTGGTACCTATGATATATTATGATACAATATATGTATATATGCGTACACATTTTTTTCGGGTAACACCAATTTGGGTATAACATGGTTAATATATATATTAATATATATATATATTATATAATTATGTTCATATGTTGTTATGATGTCTTCTGTATTATATGCTATTAAACTATGAAACTTATCCACTTAGGATGTAGCCCAGTCGTATACTTCGAGGGTCATCCCGGACATCGTTCAACTGGGGGTTATCCCATCCACAGAAAATGTTCCCGAAAAGAAACACGGTAGCCTCTGGTTATGTCAAAATAGCTATTGAAAATTGCACATTTATAGTGGATTTACCCATTGAAAATTGTGATTTTCCATATTTATGTTAGTTTACCAAAGGGTACTTCTCAAGAAGACAAGGCTCAAGAATAGTCCAAGAAAACGCTCAGCAACACAATATTCCTATCAAGAAACGCCACCTTACCAGAAACACAATCGAACAATACACACACACACATCTTCCCACAAATAATCCAAAGTGTTTCCCTGACAAAACATTGTTCTTCTAGAGTTAGGTGTATCTGAACAAAATGGAATATACCCCCAAAAAAGGCAATTTTAGTCTGACGATAAGTCATGAACATATCAATTGGACGTGGGCCCCAGAACCGCCATCCATGGATCCATGGCACAGCGCCTTCTTGTAGAAGATCTGCCCAATAGGTCCATGCACGATGAACATGGGAAAGGCCAGCGACCCCAGTGTGGCCATCGGTTTGCTTCCGAAGAACTTGGTGATGCTGGAGGGCTCTTTGGATAAAGCGTCGCGGTGCATGGCTTTCAGGAACTTCCTGGGAGACCAATGGGAGGTATGGCATGGACCTTAAAATAGATATCTCGATCCTCAATTTGTACCTCTACAAATGGGAGATCAAAGAGGTTCTATAATGTATACTTTATATATATAATATATATATAATATATATATAATATATATATATATATAATATAATATATAATACATATATATATATATACATATCATTGGTAGGGGTTCCAAAGGTTTAGCGGTGGTTGTGATTCTGGAGTTGTAATTGGGACATCCAGAACTTTGGTCGTGACCTTTCCGAAGTGACCTTTATTTTGTTAGGAAATAGACCCATGTATGGCAACAGAATTTCAGTACCAAACCCCTAGCCCGGCTGTTTACTTGGGAGGGTACCATTTAAGTCAGTATTTGATTATGACTATTGGAGGAGTACCCCCCAAATTAATAAACCATCGTTTAATTAATCCGGGGTTTCAGTAATTGCTACAAACACTGGGAGATAGTGTAAACCATTGTTACAAACACTGGTTGACATTATTACAAACAATATTAATAAACCATCGTTTATTAAACCATAGTCTGTTCATATTCTGAGATGCTTCAACTTTAGGGGGATGAGAGATGGGATGGGTGCATTGGGGTTTTCTACATTGATCATGGCAAAGTTGGGAAAATCCCAACCCAAACCAGGCTTCATCTTACAAATGAGGGATGAGAACAGATGCCTGACATGTTTTAAATCACGCACGCATAACTAAAGACATAAATATGTATAATATATAAGTATATATATATGTATGTATGTGTGTGTGTGTCTATGTCCAGACACATACGTATACATGTAACATATACACATATCTCAAAAACAGGGAACACTGGATGTTCTTCTCTAACACCAACACCTTGAGAGGAAAGCTGCTGTAGATCGGAGTCCAAAACTCCCGGGTACGGTGGGTTACCTCTGGGCCCATGACCCACATCCAAGTTGCGTGAAGAGGGGCACGAAGAGAACGCCGCGGATGATGGCATCATTGAAGTCAAACTGGGTGAGTCGAAGGAGGAGCGAAGAATAGGCCTCGCAGCATTTTTTGCTGGGCTGGATCTGCTGGATCTGCTTGACCTGTTCCGCACCATGATTCATTACAATATTCCTGCACATAGCCAGCTGGATCTGCTGGGTAATAAATAAACATAAATAAACATAAATATCCTTGGTAGATTCCCATTTCTGGTGGATTAGCCACTGGAAAAATGACCCATTACCTTCAGCATCCAGGCAGGTTTGAAAATCCAGCGATGGGAGAGTTCAAGGATGTCTGGGCAAATGATGGTGCCTCACTTTCCTGGAATCGGAATACACATTTTAATGCTGGGGACATGGTTCGACGTTCTTACAATATGAAAGGGATACATGGGTATAATTTGAAAAAGAAACCAATAGGAATGTATTTCACCAACAGGATCTATGTTGATATATATATATATTATACAGTATATACTAATTATTCTGGTTGGTGGTTTCAACCCCTCTGAAAAATATTAGTAAGTTGGGATTGTTATTCCCAATATATGGAAAGTCATAATCCAGCCATGTTCCAGTCACCACCATCCCCAGTTGAAATTCGCAGTTGAATCCGTTAAGAATCCCCCATGTTTCCCCAATGTTTCTCCGAAATCTCCATAGGGTATTTTACCGTATATATGTTGATATATATATATATTATGTATATATAAATTATATATATATATATATATTATATACAGTATATATTAATTATGTAGTACTGTACCCTGAAATATCTCAGAACATCCATACTTTCCACGGGTCCTCATTGCAACAAGCTGACGCACAGAACTTGGTTCCACTATGGTCCTATGGATTATGGTGGAGGTCTTCCGGGATATATTGAACGAGTTATATAATGCTAATGGTGTTTATAAAACAGCAAGGATATATTGAGCTGGTTATAGAATGATAATTGGAGTTTATGCCTCAGCTTGCAAGCCGAGTTGCCGCCAAGAAGAGCCACAAGGGGTTCCTCGGTGCATTTTCAAAAGGAACATCATATACAAATGGGTGTTATCCAGCAGGCCAGGTGATATTTGGCAAAGTTTTTCAAGTTACCTTCAGCCTTGGAAATGGCCACTTTGGCGATTCCACGCAAACGTTCTCCGTACCCTCTGGTAAACTAACAGTTTGCTATTGAAAATGACCATAGAAATACAGTAGTGGATTTTCCCATTAAAAATGGTGATTTTCCAGTTCGCTATGTTAGTCATTACCAGAGGGTACTATAAATGACCTCCGTACCTCTAATAATCGGCGATTGGACCCAGTTGAACTGAAGACTTGCGCAATGAATAATGGATGAAGATTGGCAAGTCCACCGCTTTTTTACAGCTCAAACACATACAAGTCATGGGGAGTATTGGAGCATCATCCCATTTTCACGAGCAACAAAAGAATTATTTGACACCACCAAGGCAGTTGCGGTTGTTCTATCATAACCCCAGCACCCATATTCATCCATATTCCATTTTCACAACAAACAAAAACTCCGGCCAGCTACAGTGGTTATAAAATATTATAAACGCACTATATATATATATATATACCATTTGGTTATTTAACATAGCCATGGAAAGATCCACCCATTTCCAAGTTCGGTAAACCCATGTAAACCATCTATTTCTATGGGCCATCATTTTCCATGGCTATCTTCCATAGTTGATGGTTGAATCCCGCATTTTTCCCAAACATGTGTCCCAGCCAGGGCCTCCGTTCGATTCGACGCCGTCTGGTAATGACTTTCACAGTTTGCTATGAAGAAATGCCATAGACATCGTGAATTTACCTACTAAAACAGGCGATTTTCCATTGCAAACTGTTAGTTTACTAGAAGGTATATCATATGATTGTTGCTTCTATCCTGGTAAACATCCCATTGGTTATATCATGACATATTCCATCACAAATATTCCATGACAATAACCAGAGGCTATCAAAAAAAACATACCGTTCTCCGTTCTTGGTATTTCCCATTTATATCTACATGTTCGTTGGTTCAAATCCCTATAATCAGCAAAAAAGTCCCAGTTCACATCCCATCAAAGGTCCTTAATTGACCCTCCGAAACATCGTTGATGCTTAAAATTCATTGACCGGTTGGTGGTTTCAACCCCTCTGAAAAATATGACTTCGTCAATGGGAAGGATTAATTATCCCATATATGAAATGGAAAATAATCCATTCACCAAACCACCGTCCCCAGTTGAACTTCGCCGTTGAAATCCGTTAAGAATCCCATGTTTCCCAATGTTTCTCCGACATCTCCATCGGTTTTACCCGAGTCTCATGGGGGTCTTCTTCTTATCCTCCTCCGTGTCCAGCATGACATGCCGCACCGCCACAATGCCCATGGTCATCTCCATCCTCTCAGACAGTTGGAACAAACAAACGAACGAACCCCCTCGAAATAACATGAGCCCAAATTCATATGGATGTATGATGATGTATGAGGATTTATGGGAATTTATTTGGGATTTATGGGGCTTTCATGGTGGTTACCCTTCTGTAAACCTTAACATAGATATGGATTTTCCTGCAAAAACAATGGGTTTTCAACATCTAGCTTAGTTTACCCCAAGGTAACCAACGAAAATTGGGTCTAGAGCAAACCATTCATTGTGGGGATATGTTTTGGGGATATTTCAGGGGATACATAATATATATATAATATAACCAACAACGGAGTAGATATGTGGGTGTGGATGAACATGGGGTATCCCCCCAAAAATGCTCAGTGAATGAGAACATGATGATCAACCAGTGAATGTTTTTCAGCAGGTTTGTTTTCAGTGTCACCTGCCTTTTCTTGCAACATTACCCTCTGGTAAACATACAAAAAACTATTGAAAATTGCCCATTTATAGTTGATTTTCCCATGAAAAATGGTGATTTTCCATAGTTATGTTAAATTACCAGAGGGTAATGGGAAACTCAGCAACAAAATGGGGATCTTTTCTGGTGCTAAACGCAGGGAATGAGGGAATGATCCATTTCATCACTAGTAATGATCATCCCATTCCCCCATTCCTATCCATTCCCTACTAAGCACCAGTAAGAATGGTAGAGACATCAACCATTTTCACCATCTTTCACCGAAAAAAAGGTGTGGAGCTTCCAATTTATGCTGCTCCTGCGACAGGTCTCCAATCATTGAGCCCATTTCTTGGCGCATCCCCAAGATCCCACTTTATAGATCTTTATAGCAAGTCCCATGGGCAAAAATCCCTAGGTTTCATGGTCAAAGTCACAGTCGGTCGCCATTTTCCTGGTCAACAAAAGCACCGCATCCCCAGCTTCGCATGAAATTGCCCTACTATTTAAGTACACAACTCACCAGCAATGCCAAGCCCTATGTGATACATTGGGCGTAAATCCGATCACATCCCAACTTTACCCTGGGTCCCTCTACATCCCAAGGTCCATCGCCCCAATATCCCCATTTTATGTTTGATGGTTGAACCCACAGTGGTTTCCCAGTGATTTTTTTTTTTGCTGCCCTACCCTGCTACGACGACATGTTTCCGAGTGATTGGCTTGGCCAATCAAGACCCGGGGCACTGCTGAAGTTCCTATGATATTTACATCCCTATACCCCATAGCCCCCAAAAGCCGATATTATCTGGTAAACACAAAAATCCACCCAAAAATCCACCATCATCCACCATCCCAGTCACATTTTAACCATCATTTTTCTGGAATTAGCCCCCGCCATGGTAGTTTTTTCTGGGCCATGGGCCATGGGCCATGGGCCAAGTCTCAAGGCCCAGAAGGGATGGAAGCGCGTGAGGTTCCAAATCAGCGGATGCATCACCTTGCCGTCCACCGGATGTTCTTTGCCTCGGAGCGCAGGATCACCAGTTTTTTTGGGGATGGTTAGGCTGAAAAAATGTGGATTTCGGATGAATTAAAGCAGCGACACTTGGGTGATATGATTTGAATTAGACTTAAAAGAAGACTTCAAATGAAACATGATTAGAGGGAGAAATTACGTGAGTCAGGCGGGATTTTCCACGTGATTTGGAGAAGCAAACATGAAGGATTTAAGTGGATCTAACATGATCTAACATGATTCAAATCAACATATTTGAACGAGTGAAACTAGCTACGGTGATTGACCTATTGTAAATAATGATAGACCACATAGCTATTATAAACCATTTTATACGATGATATATATATATATATATGTATATATGATGATTACCATAAACTATAAGTGATTTACCTAGTATTTCCAGGGTGATGTTGCAGTTCGCATCAGTTCGCTATGTGTTGAATTTCCGGAGAGTAGTTGATGTGTCGGTTGGACGGCGCCATCGATTCTCGCATCAACATCTTGGGCTCCCCTAACTTGGACCTTTAGGTCCCCCCGGGTCCCAGTGGTTTTTCCGATCCAACTGTTGATATATTCCAACTACCCTCTGGTAAACTAACATAACTATGGAAAATCACCATGTTTCATGGGTAAATCAACTGCAAATTGCCATTTTCAATAGCTATGTTAGTTCATCAGAGGGTATTGGCCGGGTTCAAAATCAACTTGCAAATGATGAGACAATCTCCATGTGCCCGGCTACTATGTTTGAATGTTTGGTGCTTAAATCACGTGAAAAATCCTCATCGAAATGATCATCCAAATATGATCAAATATGTTGTATGTCCATATGAATTGTTCATACGGGTTTATCTGAAAATAGGGCACCCCGGGCACCCCCACAATTGATGGTTCATCATCATGTTCCCAACCAATATACATATATATATATAGTAATATTGTTGGTTATATATCCCAACTATACCCCATACAACTACCACTACATTTCCATATGAGTTGGCTAATCCCCAGCTGGTTGATGCTTGATCAACTAACTAACTAAGATTTGCCCGTTTGTTTGTATACCGGTTAACCAACTTAAAACCAAACACTACTATAAGTATCACCAATTGCTATATGATTTATCGTTACTTCAGATTAACTATAAAACATGATATAACTATATTATGCTTATCTGTTGCCCATAATTGCCCATCATCGACTAAGATGTCGATTAACTATAACTTCTAATTATATACCCTCCAGTAAATTAACATAGACCCTGAAAATCACCCATTTTTAGTGGAAACTAGACTTCCAACCCCTATCTGCCAGGGTCTATGTTAATTTACCAGAGGGTAACTTCTATGGGTTTTATGTTTCCATGAACTACACAGAAGACCACCATCCCCATCTGTGAAACCGCGGCCATGGCACTACTGTGGAAGCGTGCCGTCTCCGAGTAGGAGACCTACACATGAAAAAAATATGTTCAAATGGGCTCTGAAAATGGCGATTACCCCCCAAATTATCCAAAATTGCAATTTTTATACATGGAGAATTACCCTTCAAATGATCCAAAATCATGGTGATTTAGTGGCGTTTAATGGCTTTTAATGGGATTTCATGGTGATTTCCGGAAGGGACAACGAGTTTTTTTCATCCATTGGAGCTGGGGGATTTTGGAGTGTCGAAGAAAAAACCGATCGCCCTGGGTCTGAAGCCAAAATTCTCCGGCTACAAAAACACGTTGTGTTTGTGGTTTATCTTTGGAGATTTATAATATTAATTCATTAACACACACAAGAGCAATCACTGCCGATTTTCTCCGGACCCATGTATGTAACAATCTGCCTTATCATTAACAATCATTAAACACTCCATTATGGTATCTTTTGGAGATTTTTCATGATTTTTCTGGTGATTTAATGATGGTTAATGATGATTAATGATGGTTAATAATAATATTATATAATTATCTTTGTCATATTATATGGTTAATATACTGTTAATAATGGTTAATATATGGTTATTATATGGTTGATGGTCGACAATGACTGGTTGGTGGTTGACCTACCCATCTGAAACAATATGAGTTCGTCAGTTGTTCACCTTATTCCCATTTTTTTGAACAATAAAACATGTTCCAAACCACCACTTTATCCCACTTTATCGAAAGCGCTGCCAGAGTCGAACGCTGACAGCCCTCATTGGAGCGTCAGGCCTAGACCGTTGAAACCAAGACCTCCGGGAACCTGCAATCTTTGGATGCAAAAGGAAGTCCATCAACAGCCCTCGATGATCGCTGCACCCCATTAGGACAGAAAGATAAGATCCACTCGTCCACCGCATTGACTCTCACAGGATCCCAAGGGACAGCGATGCATCCAGTGTGGAGGAACAAAGACCTAGAATGGGGTCGGCAATATCGATATGTGAAGGCCTGTCCATGATGTTTCAAACATTCTTTGAGCACACGACAAAACCATCTGCATCTGGTTTGAAAAGGAACAGTCAACAAATCCAAATGGGGAGTACGGTGTCCCGCACGCCAAATACCAAGCTTCGTCGGTCCATGTTCGCCGGACATCATGAAGTCAATATACAAATGGAATTGAGACATCCAAATAACTGGTGCATTGGAAGCAAATGTGGCTTGCCAATACCATGACAGCAAAAGACGAACCACCTCATCTCCATACCATCTCACAGCAGTCACGGGGACATGCAATGCCACAAGGGGGCTCCACGCATCATCCGGAACCTCGGGAGGAACGCAAACTTCTGTCCGTTCATCACCTTCTTGCCCCTCGTTCTCACGGACAACAGCCCTACTGATGCGCAACAACACTTGCTGGACTGCACGAGAAATTCTAGTACAAGCCCTGGTAGCCTTGACATGCTTATCGAAAAAAGTCCAAAACTCTTCAGATCGCCGCCATTGCGCAAGGTTAGCAGCATGATCCGCAAACGTGTTATGAACTGTACACCAGTCTTCGGCTGGAGAGACCGCATTGGCTACTTGTTGATGAGCAGCAACCTTACGGATTTCAACCTGACCAGGAGCAAAATCTTGAAGAGCTTCCCCAACCAAAAACCATAAGTCCGAGTGAGCTCCATTCGGCTTAGGCTCACCACCCTGTAGAAGGCGCCTCAGCCTGGTGACCACCGCCCCACAATCCGTCCAGAGGAAAACCCTGCCACTCTGCAGTCGGAGGATTGACAATGCACGCCATACGGCAAAAATCTCAGCCCTATAAGAGTTTTGCAGCATGCCTGGTAACGGACCAGAGTCAATCACACTACCAGCAAAAGGGCCCTCAAAGTCAGCAAACACCACAGCCCATGCGGCCAGACGGCATATCGGCACCTCAGGATTGAGACAGCTACCATCGGTGAACAGGTGGACCTCTTGGTACATGTCCAGCATTGGATTGACACTTGGCACACAGATGTCACAAAGATAGCTATACCATTCCAGAGACGTGTAGGGACGTAGGCTCCAACCATATCCTGTCACCACATCTGGAAGAGAAGGGATCAATGCCACAACATCAGAAGGGAGACCTTCACGTTCAGCCTGAAATCTTTCACATACCCAAAAACGATGGAATCTGGAGCCAGTGCAGTCACAATATGGGCACTGGCTGCTGCCCCCTTCTTGGCAATATGCTTTACCATCTTGAGTAATATGTGTTCCATTAAGGCATTTGTGAAACAATTCAAGGTCTTCCCCTGCAAGCATCTTAAGAAAAACTCTCGTATCGGCAGCATCAACAAATTGAAGGTCACGAAAACCCGGTCTGTGAGCCACTTGTTCTGCAACCACCTTTTGCCAGGCCCATTGCGCCCGCAGCACCAACTCTGACATACAGGCCTCAAACAAGGAAAATTCACCAAATTGATCATGGATCAAACCATTTCCCATTACGTGCCACGCAAGCATCTGGAGGCGTGAAAGCAGAGTTGAGGTGATGGAGTTGGCAGGCACAGCATCAGGAGACTGGGTCAACTTCACCATGGCAGCTTGAACCTGCACAGGATCCCCACAGTCTCGTGCACAGCGAATGGTATGAATGATGGACCAGAAGCCCGGGTCAACCAAGGGGTGCTCCACCAAACCTAATTGTACCCATGCATTGCAACCTGATCCATCTGCACCTAACCCTTTCAGTGCACCAGTTCTCAAGGAATGAATCACGGCGTCCCCAACCAGGGTGGATGCAACAGCATGAAGTGCTCTTGGCCAGGCCGCAACCAAAATGGCACGGATTTTGAGACGGTATTTGCACGCAGAAATTCGCAATCGAGGCCAAATGGCAGCCATCCCTGAAATGCGGTCAACCAATGAAAAGTTGGTATGTTTTCTGGACATCTGGACATGTGCACCTAAGTTCTTTGCAGCCAATACTACACGGAAGCCACCCCTTCGCAAGGCCTGTCGCCCTTCAGCAGTGAGAGACCACGCATAAGTTTTCTTGTCATCCAACTGCAAATCAACCGCATGCACAAACAAATCCAGGCAATGTTTGGCCCCTTCCATCAGCGACCCATGAGGACAAAGAATCTGCCAATCATCCACGTATGACAAGGCCGTGCATAAGGGAAAAAAGGTTCTTTGCCACAAATGAAACGCAAAATCAATGATGACCATGGCAACACAGCTAAGGCCACATCCCTCAGGGAACCCAGTGACGCTCGGAACTCCTTCAGTCAAGGATCCCCGCAAAAGGAACCTGCGCTGCATCTGGGACAGCGCCCCAGCCCAAGCAACCAACATCCCACCAGGCATCCCAATGTGTCCTGCAAGTTCAAAAACCACAAGTCTCGGAATCATGTTGAAAGCCTTCTGCAAATCTGCCACCAAACCTGTGAGCTCAACAGAGTGCTCAAAAGAGTGTTCCATGGACCAAAGGAGCTTGGCCCAAACCTGGGCAGCATAATGTCCTGGCCGACTACCGTACAACGTCTCTGGCAAAGCTTCATCCAGCAACCGCAGGGCATGTTTGGAATGAAATGAGCTCCACACACGATACAATAACCCAAAAACAGTAATTGGGCGAAAGTCAGCAGGAGATCCAGGACATGCAACCTTGGCAAGGCTCACAACTCTCCCATCCACCAATTGCGAAGGCCAGGCACCATGCCTTTCAGCACATAGGAACATATCAGTAAAGGCAGTCAAAACCGGGTCTGGCATCGCACGCAAATCAGCAAGTGAAACACCATCAAACCCTGAGGAAGTGGAACGCTTCTTGGTCCGTACAATGCGTTTGATGTCATGACCTTGCATGGAATCCCACTGGAGATTCAATCTGGGCATGAATCGCTTGGCAAACTGGACAATGCAATCCCAGCGCTCAGGTGGGACGTCAGCATGGCGCATCCATCTATCTCTCCAGGCACTGACAAAAGCAGATTCCAGGTCCTGGTGACTACCAACATACTTCATCTGAGTGACATTGGACCCAACTGTGATACCAGACGCATCTTCAACCCAAACCGCATCCTCAGAATGATGGATAACTTTAAGGGGAATACCATCACATGCAATCACCTGATCAGGCTGGAAGGCACAGGCATGATCCAAAACCAACTGGCCGTTTTCGACATCAACTTCATCCACCACAGCCCGGATAGGTTGCAGCAAAACGTCGACCCCTGGTACTGCAGGTGGACGGATGTCTGCAAACACAAGATTAGGGTTCTGATCCCTACGCAGTCTTGCATATTGTCTGGAGTGTTTCCGCAAGTCAACCTCAAAAGCACGAACCGCCATTGCCACAGAATCAAAAATCTCATTTGCAACTTGAGCCTCAGGAGGCCAAGCAGGACACCCAACAGGGGCAGCAGCAGTCTTGAAGTTCATGCCATGCCACCAAGCAGAGAAAGTTGGCACAAAACCTTTTGCACGAAGGATCGCTCCCCAGGCTTCTGCGCATTGCACAGCCACATGAGGAGACCTACTTGTCGCAAGGCGAGCATATGCTTGCAATCGTCGGGCTTGACGCACCCACTGAGCATGTTTAACAGACGTGCCAAAAAACCCAGGTTGGAAATCTCCTTTCCGTCCCTTTTTAAGTGGAGCTGACAGGCCAGGCCTAACTTGTTTAGGAGCAATCACAGCAGCTCTACCTTTCATCCTTGGGCGCACCACAACTGAAGCAGCTCTCTGTGCAGAGTGTTCAATGGATCCCCAAAGGTTGGCATACGCATTTGACATGTCATCAACTTCAGCAGGCCACCCAATACCATCACCCTGCCAGGTGGGCCAGGGAAAGGGTTCAGGGGTGGGCCAAACCATAACATAAGGAAGCAACGCAGGTTTCTGAAACTTCCCCACCAAGACGGAGTGATCTGGCCAAACATCGTGATGCACCTCAACATCCAGCAACAAATCTTGTAATTCAGGTGAAACATAGAAGAAATCACGCCTTGTACGTCCCTTGCATGTGTGTCGCAAGGGTTTTC